TGAAGATGTAATTAAGGATTTTGAGATGAGATCATCCTCAATTATCTGAGTAGCCCCTAAATGCAGTGACAAGTGTCTTTATAAGAGACACAGAGGAGAAGACACAGGGGGAAGAGGAGGAGCCGATGTAAAATCCAAAGCAGAAATTAGAGTAAAGTGGCCGTAAAGCCGAGAGATGCTGGCAGCCTCTAGGGAAGGAAGGGTCCTCCCTGACAAGGTACAGACGGAACGCAGTCCTGTGGACACCATAATCTTGGACTCCTGGACGGTAGCACTGGGAGAGTGTGCACTTCTGTTGTTTAAACAACAAAATGTGTGGTAATATGTTATGGCAGCCACAAGAAACTAACATGCTCATTGATCAGAGATGAGTGTTGATGTTGTGCTATGTGGCCTAAAAGGTGTGAAGCGAGTGGGGGAAGTCCACAATCACCCAGCAAAAACAGGACACGACAACTCAGGACGAATGGACAAAGCCTCCACGACCCCAGCAGATTTTATGAGCATTTATTGCTAGAAACCCAACTCTTTTTGTTTTTGAGGCAGAGTTTCACTCTGCCGCCCAGGCTAGAGTGCAGTGGCACCATCTCAGCTCATTGCAACCTCGCCTCCTGGGTTCAAGTGCTTCTCCTGCCTCAGTCTCCCGAGTAGCTGGGACAACAGGTGCCTGCCGCAACACCGGGCTAATTATTATTATTATTATTATTTGTATTTTTAATAGAGACAGCGTTTCACCATGTTAGCCAGGCTGGTCTCAAACTCCTGACCTCAAGTGATCCACCCACCTCGGCCTCCCAAAGTGCTGGGATTACAAGCGTGAGCCACCACCATGCCCGACCAAGAAACCCAACATTTAGAAGTCAAATGCCCCTAGACACATGGACTGGGAAGTTCTTAAACTATTCAAAAGTGGACAAAATGGATTCAAAAATATTTACGTCCCGGAGGATACAAAGCAAAGGCCATCATTTAGTGCTGGCTGTGCCATCCAGTACAGGTACCACCAGCCATGCCTGGCTAATTGCAATGTGGCTAGTCCAAGCTGGGATGTACAGTAAGCATAAAATACACACCGAATTTTAAAGATTTAATATGAAAAACAAAATGTAAAATGTCTCAATGACTTTTAGATCGATTGATACTATTTGGGATACTATTTTGGATATATGAATGATGACAATTAATTTCACCTGTTCCTTTTTACTTGCGTATCATGGCAATCGGTTTTAAAAGCACGCATCTAACTTCCTTTAGATTTCTATTGCTCAGCATTAACTTAGAGGAGGCTGGAAACTTGGGGGAATGTAAAAATTAAGTTGCACGTGCTCTTGGGTTAACAAGAAATTAAAATGCCAACAAAATGGCAGAAGACCTGAACCCCCCAAAGGATGCAAAACCCCCCACAAGGGGCCCAATGTTAGATGAACTGATACTAACAGTTGAACTGCTTTCTCCCTGTCCCTTTCTCTGGCTCCCAACTCCCCCCATAAAGACTCTTCACTGCATGACCACACCCCCATGCTGACTCCACTGATTGGATCAAGGGGTAGCCACACCCTCCTAGAGGCAGCCAATCACCAGGCCTCCCTGAGAACCAAGCCAATCACCTTTCTCTCCCAGGATGGGTGGGAACCTGGTGGTGAGCGGTGAGTAAGGATTCAATGGGAGGTAGGATGGTGTAAATGGAGGCCATCCCGGAGCACAGATAACCCAGAGCAGGTGAGTGGTTTCAAACCTCAGCTGCAGGGCAATGACAATGTGCTTGATGAGTATTTGGATTACTTGGCCCTGGCCCTCTACAAGCCTGGGTGGGGCCTGGGAATCTAAATTTTAAACAGGCCCCTGAGCACCTGGGCCACAGGTGATCTTCAGGCCACACTGAGAAACTCCAAGGGCAGAGGATGCAGAGGCCGTGGGTAGAGAGAACGGAGCCTGGGGAGTGGACGGGGGCAGGAGCTGGTCAGAGGTGTCACTGTCTCAGGGGGTTTCCCAAGGATCCCGTGGCTCTTTCTTTTTTTTAGGATTACAAATATTCACATTTTATTTTAAATAAAATACTTTTTGGTTTTTTTTAAACATTAAAAGATGCCAAGTGTTACATTTTATTCACCACCCTGGACAAGTAAAACTGTGGAGGTGTAGGCAGACAGCTAGAGTGGAAGGACCACACTGGAATTAAAATTTTAATTTAATTCAGGAGAAAACAGGAGTGTGCGGTCCCTGTGGCACCCAGCACTGTGCAGCACCCGTCAGGTCCATTTTATTACACAAAATACAGAGAACCGGAACTATACAAACAAATAATTGCTATATTACAGGGAGGTAATTAAGGCATCATTTTATAACAAACTTTCATTCTAAAAATAAAATTCTGCTTGAAAATATACCATAAAGAAAAGGAGAAAGGCAAAAACAAAACAATGTCACCTTGGCCTAGAGCTTGCAGGAGTGCAGCTGCCTCGCAGGCCACAGAGAAAACAAGGCCCATCCAGGGTGGTGTCAGTCAGCCTCCTGGAAGATAGGCCAGTGGTGCCAGGCACCAGGCCCACCAGCATGGAGCAGAGGGACCGACAGCCCCACACCCCAAATAAGAGCTCATCCCACCTATTGGGGCTGCCCTGAGATGTGCCCAGAACACCGAGCCCATGAGAAGGAGGACTGGGGGAGGCCAGCACTGGGGACATGTAAAATGCCATTGTCACTGGCCAGAGAGTAGCAAGAGGGAGGAACAAGAGCACCACAGCCGAGACTCCCTGTGACCACAGACCAGAGGCTGCTACCCCCCCATATCCCAGCCCTGGGGACACTGAGGTTGGTCAGGGTTCAGGACTCACCCCAAGTCACGGAGTCATGGGTGGAGTTGGGGATAGATCCAAGAGGAGAATCCAGGTCTCTGGCCCCAGGGAACATGCCCCGCTCCCCAAACATGCGGTGCCCTCTTATCCTCCAAGCCTGTGCCCAGACTTTCCCCTCTGGCTGGAACACCCTTCCCGTCTTTTATCTAAAAAATTTTGGATGAAAGTTCCATTTTTGCCTCCAACTGAGAACTTCCCTGCTTTCAGGGTTTGGGAAAATCTGCCCTCGGAAAGCAGTTTAAAGCGAGGAGCCAGTCTCGTGTCACCATCTGCATGACATGTGTCCCTCAGAGGCTTTTACTTAAGCAGAGGGGGCTCCAGCTCCACACCACTAGGCAAGCTGGCTGGGGGCAGACATCTCTGCTCAGAAACAGGCCCCATGCCTCAGGCCCACTCTCTCTAGAGCCCAAAGGTGGGAGCCCTCCCCTCAGCCTCAGCGAGCTGATGAAGCCGAGTGTGAGCTGTGATTACACCATGCTCGAGTCTGCTGGGGTACTGGGAGCAGGCTAGGCACACTCGTCTCGTTCACATCACACAGGGTCTAATGAAGCGTCCCGTGTTCTACAAACCTCAGCGTGTGATTTAATTAGCCCTCCGTTCCGAGTATGCCCTCATCACCCATCATGGACAAAGGGGACTCCCAACCCCTGACTGTGGGGTGGCAGCCATGAGTAACTGGGGCATGCACTCCAGGACTAGCAGAGCAGAGACCCAGTGCACCCACCAGCTAGTGAGGTCTGGGATTTCAGTCCAGATTTAGGTAGAAGGTAAAATATCAAAAAGATGGGGATGGGCAGAGAGGCATACTAGATGGTAGGCACCGTGTGTGGAAAGGTTCGGTGGCAGAAATGTGTCTGGTGGGCCACGCTGGCTGGTCTGCAGGTATGTGTGGGGTACGGTTGGACATGAAGCAACCACGTACACCTGCCTAATATTACGGAGGAGACATGCAGAAGCCCAGCTCTGCCGCTTACCACCGCAGAGAGCCCGGGCTCTCTGAGAGACCTGAAAGGTCACCCTTTCTCAGAAACATGTGGGCAGCGTCAAAGTCCTTCACAAGCACTGATCTCACTAGGTCCTCACAACAGCTCTATTGAGTAGAAACTACTATTACGCCATTTTATTTATTTATTTATTTATTTTGAGACAGAGTCTCACTCTGTCACCTAGGATGGAGTAGACCTCAGCTTACTGTAGCCTCGACCCTCCCAGGTTCAAGCAATCTAATCACCTCAGCCCCCCAAGTACAGGCTCCTGGGACTACAGACACCTGCCACCATACCTGGCTAATTTTTATATATTTTCTGTAGAGACAGGGTTTCGCCCTATTGCCCAGGCTGGTCTTGAACTTCTGAGCTCAAGTGATCTACCCACCTCTGCCTCCCAAAGTGCTGGGATTACAAGTGTGAGCCACCGCACGTGGCCCCTAATCCCATTTTAATGATGAATAAATGGAGGGCCAGAGAGGGTAAGTAACGTGCCCACAGTCACACAGCCAGAAGGTGGTGGGGCCAGGACTCCACCCCCACCATCTTCTTCCTCACCACTGCACCTTTTAGCCTCGCTAGGAGGACCCTGCTGCCAGCCTTTCAGGGCTGGACTGAATACTGGAACTGACGGTGTGGCACTCCCAGCCCAGGCTGGCATGCAGCTGGAACAGCGGGAAGGAGGTGCCTCCTCCCATCCTTCCTCCCTAGGAAGCCCCTGCTCCCTAATCCTGTTTCTCCCTAAACTGCCCACTCTCTCGTTAGTGCCTCTTAAGTTCCCTAATTTGTGTCTGTACTCCGGCCCAACTTTTCTAGATCCTCAGTCCCAGGGTCCCTGCCATGCTGCCTGGTTACTCAGCATCCCTGGTGCATCACCTGGGAAATGGCAGTAATTAACGATTCAATGAGTTAATAGTTGGAAAGTGCTTAAAACTGTGATTCCAGGAGACTGTGTCCCACCTGAACGTGAGCTCTTCGGAGCTAGTTCCATGATGCCCAGCTCTGGTCACCACAGGCCCTGGCCCCAAAAGGACGGATCACACAGGAGCCTGGCAAATCCTCACTGAATGGTAAGTTTGCTTAAAAGATACCTTTGATCAAAAGTCAGTTTCGATGGCATCATAATAGTTTAAAAAGACATTATCTGCATGTCTTCAGAAGGTGATGACTATTGGTCAGTCAAAACCAGGGAAGAGGAAACTGAAGGGATGGGACAGAGGACTGACTTGTAAACAACGTTCAGGGGCTGTGCGACAGACTAACCGCTCACCTTACTGACCCCTCAAAGTAACCCCAGGGGAGGGGCTCCTGCCCTCATTCCACCAGTGAGAAAGATGAGGCCCTGGAATAGAAAGCTGCCTGCCTAATATCACAGGAGCCCACCCCTCTATTTCGATGCCCCTGGCACACAGTAGGTGCTTAGATGCCAGCTGTGTGCTTGAATAAAAAATGAAGGAATGCCCAAGTCACACAGCTCCTGAAGGGCGCAGTTGGGGTTTGAACCCCGATCTGAGTGCTGGAAAAGGCTCCCAACCTAGAGCTTTTGTGCCGTGGATTTTACAATGTGTCCTTTCTTAGGAAACTGGCAGTGTCTTCCTTTGCAGCCCTGCAGGGAGAAGGCTGACTGAGTCTGGTCACAGATGGAATGGCTGTGTCCCCTCAAATTCCTATGTTGAAACCCTAACCCCGAGGTGACGGTGTTAGGAGATGGGGCCTTTGGGGGATGATGAGGTCGTGAGGGTGGAGCCCGCATGAATGGGATTCTAAGGGTCTAAGGTGGAGCCCTTAGAAGAAAGGTGCATGAGAGCTCCCTTGTCCCTTCCACCATGTGAGGACACCGCAGGAAGTCACCACCTATGAACCAGGAAGAGCACCTTCACCAGACACCGAATCTGCTGGCACCTTCATCTTGGACTTCCCGGCTCTAGAGCTGCTGGAAATAAGTTTCTGTTGTTTGTGAACCACCCAATCTATGGCATTTTTGTTACGGGAGCACCAACAGACCAAGACAGACTCTACCAGTATCATAAGCCCCCACCCATGAGACTTACACAGTCATTTTCTTACGGATTTCCTGCTATTTCCCCTTAGAATAAGCAGAGTGAACATGCACAGTCATGCAGTCACACACTCTCACACCCACACATTCACACACACAGCAATGTGCTCGGACATACATGTACACACACAGTTGTGCATACACACTAACACACAGTCATGCAATCACACACTCACACCCACACATTCACACACACGGCAATGTGCTCGGACATACATGTGCACACACAGTTGTGCGTACACACTAACACACAGTCATGCAATCACTCTCACACCCACACATTCACACACACTGCAATGTGCTCGGACATACATGTGCACACACAGTTGTGCATACACACTAACACACAGTCATGCAATCACACACTTACACCCACACATTCACACACACGGCAATACACGTACAATTCACACACACATACATGTGCACACACAGTTGTGCGTACACACTAACACACAGTCATGCAATCACACACTCACACCCACACATTCACACACACGGCAATGTGCTCGGACATACATGTGCACACACAGTTGTGCGTACACACTAACACACAGTCATGCAATCAGACACTCTCACACCCACACATTCACACACACTGCAATGTGCTCGGACATACATGTGCACACACAGTTGTGCGTACACACTAACACACAGTCATGCAATCACACACTTACACCCATTCACACACACGGCAATACACGTACAATTCACACACACATACATGTGCACACACAGTTGTGCGTACACACTAACACACAGTCATGCAATCACTCTCACACCCACACATTCACACACACTGCAATGTGCTCGGACATACATGTGCACACACAGTTGTGCATACACACTAACACACAGTCATGCAATCACACACTTACACCCACACATTCACACACACGGCAATACACGTACAATTCACACACACATACATGTGCACACACAGTTGTGCGTACACACTAACACACAGTCATGCAATCACACACTTACACCCACACATTCACACACACGGCAATACACGTACAATTCACACACACATACATGTGCACACACAGTTGTGCGTACACACTAACACACAGTCATGCAATCACACACTCACACCCACACATTCACACACACGGCAATGTGCTCGGACATACATGTGCACACACAGTTGTGCGTACACACTAACACACAGTCATGCAATCAGACACTCTCACACCCACACATTCACACACACGGCAATGTGCTCGGACATACATGTGCACACACAGTTGTGCGTACACACTAACACACAGTCATGCAATCAGACACTCTCACACCCACACATTCACACACACTGCAATGTGCTCGGACATACATGTGCACACACAGTTGTGCGTACACACTAACACACAGTCATGCAATCACACACTTACACCCATTCACACACACGGCAATACACGTACAATTCACACACACATACATGTGCACACACAGTTGTGCGTACACACTAACACACAGTCATGCAGTCACACACTCACACCCACACATTCACACACATGGCAATGTGCTCGGACATACATGTGCACACACAGTTGTGCGTACACACTAACATAGTCATGTATTCACACACATTGTCATGCACTTACACATATGCATGCACACTTGCCTGCATATACAGTCACACGGTACACACTGACACGCTCTCACACTCAGGCCTGTGTGCACACATGCCCCATAAGCTGAAGCTGAACTGCCTGTTCCTTCAGCTACTCAGGGTCAAAGCTTCTCAAGGTCGGAGCCCCTAGAGGTGAGGACTTGCCCAATTTCATCACTTATGGAGCACAGTTAGTGACCCCAACACAACCCATCTCAGCCGGTAGTTAAATCTGCTGAGCAGATGCCGGTGGGTGCGCATGTCAGAGGCTGGGATCTTTGTCTTGGTGCAGTCATCAGAACAGGACGCGACCCTGCCGGGAGGGAACACCCTGCCGCCTTTCAGCCTGCACAACAGCACGCACCTGTTCCATTCATGATGCTAGGGAAGCTCACATATCCCCTGAGGGCCAGGGATGACCCCCACTTTCATTCTTGGACACCCCAACAATCCTCATGGTGGCTGCTGGAGTCACTGAGACTCTTAAGAAGTGGAGATTGGCCAGAGGCCACAGCTAGCAGGGAGCTGTGCTGGGGCTCCCACTCAGGGGCCAGCTCCAGACAGGGGACCCTCCCAACCCTCATGATCCCCCAGAGCCCCTGCCCACCCGCATCTCCTTCCCATCGCATCTTCATAACACTCAATCAGAATTAGGATGCTCCCTGGTGGCTCTGCAGTTGGCCACTGCCGTGTTGCCGGTCAATGGCCAAACACAGATCGATGTGGCCCAAATCTACAGTTATGCACTGGACGGTAATATAAATTGTGCCTGTGTGTGTGTGTGTGTCTGTGAGAGTGTGTGTGTCTGTGAGAGTGTGTGCAAGTATGTGTGTGTGTGTGTGTGTGTGTGTGTGTGTGTGTGTACAGGTAAATCAATACTGAAAGAAACAAAATATGGCCTGGTATGCCTTTCTCCTCCTCCTGCCTGGAGCTAGAACGGGCATGAGCTGGTACGGCCAGGCAGGCAGCAAATTTATTCGGCAGCGCCCTGCGTTACTTTCTACGTGTATGAAAAAACCAGTTCCATGGACCTCAGCCGGGCTTGCAAACCCTCCGATCATGTGCACAGTGGGCTGTCCATGGAAACTAACAAAAGAGCTTTCCCACTTGCAGGCGGCTCCAGGGTTCATCGGTGGGGCGAGGGAAGTCAGGCAGAAAGCAGGAGGTTGGCGGGAGGAGCACTAGGCAAGCAGCAGTCTATTTTAGCCTCAAGGATGGCTACAGGCACCAACATCAACTGGTAGGCACTTTACAGTCGACACAGAGAGCCAGTATCTAGATCTCATTTCACCAGGTCAAAGAGCCCCACAAGATGGGCAGGGGGCTCCTCCCATCTGAATGCCTCCTGGTATATGGATGGGGAAACTGAGGCTCAAAGAAGCAAGGGGGAAGCAAGCGGAAGTCTTTTTGGGCTAATGTATCCACAAGGCTCTGGGCTGGGTGAAGGGAGGAACAGGGGGTGAGCCCAATGGGAATCACTGCGCCATCACTCCTTCCTGGCTTTGCAACCTCAGACTGATTGCCCAACCCCTCTCAGCTTCAGGGCCTCATCTGAAAGCCCGGATGAAAAGCCCTCCATCCCTGGCCGCCTGTAGATGCTCACCACATGCACTTATTTCCCTGAACAGACTGCTCCCCTTTCTCTGTAACTCAGGGTCGCCCTCCCAGGGTAGGAACCTAGGGTCCACAGAAGAGCATCTCACTCGCATGACAGGAAGGGATGGTGTCAGGAACAGTTGCAGATACTGGGAGAGCAAGGCCATGGAATGCCAGAACAGTGGACAAAAAGGGCTGGTCCTCTCACAGAGCTGCTGCCTCCCAGGGAATGCACCTCGTCTGCAAGCTGGAGGCCCTGCTGGGGCTTTCTCTCCTGGAAGTGACTATCAGGGAGCTTTCGAAAGGATCGAACCAGCCAGCACCAGCGTATCCACCATGACAGCCGCCGGCCTGGGGACTCTGAGCCCCTCTGAAACTACCAGTCGCAGATCCCAAGGTCAGACCAGTGGCCGTTTCTATCCATTTGCATTTGGCAGACGTTCAGCCTCTTATTTCAAAGGCAAATTTATGCTTGCTTCACCATTTCTGCTTTTTAAAGCAAAGAAAAAAAAGCACTCCCAGCCTGGGGCTCAGGCATGTCTGGGTCATGGTGACAGTTACACTTTGAAAACCGCCTCCAATATGGGCAAGCGGGCTTTCTCAGAACCCATGCTGTTCCAGGCCAAGGGGAACCTCAGCTGCAAGGGGGGCAGGGCCACTCACAGGGTGGCCTTCTCCCACAGCTCATTCCAGACACCCGGAGCAGCCGCCAGGAAAGCCTTGGCTAAATCACCATGCCTCAGTCGGCAGCATTCCCTGTAGATTTCTGACATTCAACCCTGAATCCTGGAAAAGCGGGAAGCAGTGAGGGGCTTTAAAGAGCTGCTGTCACTCAGGGGGGAACTGAAGGTCATCCAGTCCAACCCTCTCTGGTGTCTGAATCCTTCTACAACAGACCCCTGGGTAGTCCTCCCGCCAAGCCTCACATACCTCCTATGATGGGGAGCTCACTACCACATTGCACAGCTGTTAATAGCTCTGATAACGAAAGCATTCTTCTTCTAACCCTCTCTCCTAGGACTTGACCCCAACGAGTCCAATTCTGCCAGCTGGGCCCACACAGAGCACCTCAGCTCCTTTACCCACAGGATCAGTGACAAGGATCCCAGTACCAATTTTTTATCCCAAGTTGCTACCGGTCCCTGCTGTCATCCTGGGTCTTTCTATTTGGATTTCTCAGCAGCAATATAAATATAATGTGTCTAAGATTAGGCTCACCATCTTCCAAAAGCAACCCACTCCTCTACCACCTTTGCCCGCCAGCCTAGCCAGAAAGCTGGATACTCAATCCTCCTCCCTCCCTCACCTGTGGTAACAAGGATATGACAACCGCTACCCATGTGCCCAGCCCTGGGGTGGCTTCCTTAAATGTACACAACCACCCCCGTGATGTGCTGTTTTCCCCATTTTACAACAGAAAAAACTGAGGTTCAGAAAGGTCATATGAAGTCACCCTGCTACCAAGAGTAGGAGCCAGCATTCAAACCTAGGTCTGACTCACAGCCTCTTTCCACCATCTCACAAAAATGCTCAGAGGCAGTCCTTCAGCATGACCTGCGAATGTACCTCCCAGCTCCTCCTGATCCTCACCTCTGCCACAGCTCAGCACTCACCACCAGGGTCTCCAGCACTGCCCACCCCATCCCTCCAGCGGGAGTTTTCCCAGCAGAAAGCAGCTATGGCCCCTGGATGAAACAGGAACCCTGGCTGTACCCATTGGGCTACAGGCTCCTCCTGCCGTCCCTGCTCCCCTCCCGATCCTCTCCTGCCACCACTCCATGCGCTGGCCAGGCTCGAGCTGCCAACACGCCCTCCAGCCCGGGACCACGGACACCAGGCAGCAGCTCTGAGTCCAGATCCTTCCTATTAGGGAACCCAGCAGGAGGGCTGGGACCATCTGGCAGGACTAGGGGAGGAGGGAAACGCTTCTTCCAAGCCTGCTGGGCCCCCTGTGTGTGCCCCAGGGGAAGACTCCTGACCTCTCTCCCTGCGTGGGAAGGAGAGTGACTGCCTCTGGAATATTGGGAAGAGAGGTGGGAAAGAGTCCAGTCCCACCTATCCCCTCCTCCTGGTGGAGAAGAGGCAGGGGCCACTCTGCTTTGTTCCACTCCCCCGCTACTCCCTCCACCCCTGCCTGCTTTGGTGCAGCACTGGGGAAGCCCACTAGGCCCCTGCACCTAAGCCAGCTCAGCTGGGTGGTAGCAGGAAGCTTCTGTCTCCGCTTGCTGCCCCTTTTGGCTTATGCTTTATGGATCCAGCTCCTGGACAGGGAGGGAGATGCCATTAACCAGACTCCCTTGCAGACCCCATAGAGAGGGAGGGAGTAAGAGAAAAGGGAAGGGTCCAGGTAGCCATGCTGCTCTGGTTGCCAGGCCCTGTCCACGGGATTTTCACAGGGACTTGCCCCGGGCTTACATTGAGGGCGTGGCCATTACCCCCATTCCACTGTCTGCTGACCCAAGTCTTGGGAAACTTCCAAAGAGAAAAACCAGCTTTTCTGGGGGTCCTGCCTCCCGCTCCGTAACCTCAGTTTGGCCCTTGTAGGTGGCACTCAGCCCCTGCCCTGCACACTGAGAACAAGCCTCAGGCTCCCAGAGTCCCAAAGGCAATACCATGGGGCATGTTTCCAGGCCCAGCCTGCCTGGCACACCCACACCAGCTCCCTCTGGGTGTTGCCTTGGCTTCTGGATAAACATGTTCTCCTGCTGAGTCTCCCAGGGGCCCCCAGGGACCCCAGTCGATGGCCACAGCCTTGCAGTAGTGAGTCAGAGGTGCCTCCGGTGAGGGCAGGCAGGCTTTCTCAGAATCCACGCTCGTCCAGGCAGAGGGGCACTTCAGCTGCTTGGGGACACGGTCACTCAAGGGATGGCCCTTATCCACAGCTCATTCTAGACACCCTGAGCAGCCGCCAGGAAAGGCTCAGTGAAGTCAACCAGCCTCAAACAGCAGCATCCCAGAAGATTTTTGTCATTCAACCAATCATTTGAGATGACAGAGGCTCCCCTCAGCTCTGGAGGGTGTGGCCTGACCCTCCACTGCTGGGACAGTGCCTCCAGCAGGCAGGGGCTCCGGAAGGGAAGGAGGGGGTGGGGAGAACCGGGCTGGGGTCCTCATTCTGCCCCTTGCCTTGCCGCCTTGGGAAGTCAGCTGCTTCTTTGGGCATCTGCTCCCTCATCTGTAAAATGGGTGATCATAGAAACCTACGGACCGTGCTGAGGCAGGAAGGATGTGGGCAGGTGGACATGAACTGCTCTGGAAGGAGTGTGGTCTTGACGTGGGTCTCAACCGTTCAGAGCCACCTACCCACGGGGCTGTTCCCAGGTGCTTCTGGGACCCAGCTCCTCCTACTCTGGTCACCCCATCTTCAGCACGGCCCTGACAGGCAGGGCTTGCTGTGCCCTCCTAGAGAGGAAGCTAAAGCCCATCAAGGCTGACACACTCACCAAGGGTCACACAGCTGCCTCACACAAAGCCGGAATTCAAGCCTGGGTCTAGCTCCAGCTCCACGCTCTTGTCACCAGCTCTCGCTCTTAGAAATTATTCTCTTTGGCCAGGTGTGGTGGCTCACACCTGGAATCCAGGACTTTGGGAGGCCGAGGCAGGCAGATCACGAGGTCAGGAGTTTGAGACCAGCCTGGCCAACATGATGAAACCTTGTCTATACCAAAAACATTTTTAAAAAGTTAGCCGGGGGTGGTGGCGCACGCCTGTAATCCCAGCTATTGGGAGGCCAAGGCAAGAGAACTGCTTGAACCTGGGAGGCAGACGTTGAAGTGAGCTAAGATCGCACCATTGCACTCCAGCCTGGACAACAGAACTAGACTCCATCTCAAAAAAAAAAATCATTTTCCTCTTCTCTAAACTCCCATATCTCCCGGGTGAACCTCGGCCCCAGCACTATGGCTGTGCTAGGGTGGGGTGGGGTCAAATCACCCTAGGCCTGGGCACCCTCAACCCTCCCCACGTAGGCTGAGCTGCTCTCTCCAAGCCATTGGTCCCTGTGCTGGGTTCTCCTCACTTCAGAGATGACTCAGCCAGATTCCTGTGCTCCCAAAGGGACAATGGTGTGCCATGGAAGTCACCGCCAGGACAGAGGGAAGCACAGAGGACTTGGGTCTCAAGGTCTTCCTCTGGCCTTGGGTCACTTCAAGCAAATCTTCCCCAAGCTCGGCCTGCCCTGTACTAAGCGCTGTGCCTGGTTCTGGGGATTACAATGTGAAGCAGACAGTAGACCTGGCCACAGAAACAGGAGGCAAGCGCCACCCCAGGCTTCCCCTGGGTCCTCTCTCAGGGAAACCATCATTATTCCCATTGATAGGGGAGGAAACCATGCCCACTCTGCTTAGCATACAGTGAGGCTTCCCTAAGGGCAAAATCAGGGACACTAGCCCAAGAGCTAAAAGTGTTTTCTGCATTTCCAAAGGATTGTGAAATAAACAACAAACAAATGACAACAAAACAAAGAAAAATATGCAACAGATCCCAGCACTTTGGGAGGCTGAGGCAGGTGGATCACCTGAGGTCGAGAGTTCGAGACCAGCCTGGCCTACATGGTGAGACCCCCCCTCTCTATTAAAAACACAAAAATTAGCCGGGCATGGTGGCAGGTGCCTGTGATCCCAGCTACTCAGGAGGTGGAAGCAGGAGACTCACTTGAACCTGTGAGGCAGAGGTTCCAGTGAGCCGAGATGGTGCCACTGCACTCCAGGCTGGGTGACAGAGTGAAACTCTGCCTCAAAAAAAAAAAAAAAAAAAGAAAAGAAAAATATGCAGCCTGCAAAGCCTAAAATATCTACTATCAGGCCCTTCACAGAAAATCAAACGTGCTCTGGGCCTACACCTTATTTTTCAGAAGAGGAGTGTCCGGGGGCTGTGAGTGAGCACCTGGGATGGGTCTGTGGATCCTGTCCTGTGGCTGCTCTAACACATGAGCACACACAGATGGCTGGAAACAACTGAAATTTACTCTCTCCTGGTTCTGGAGGCCAAGACTGTGACATCATGATGTGGGCAGGCCTGGCTCCCTCTGGAAGCTCTGAGGGAGGAGCCACTCCCTAACTCCTTCCTGGCTTCTGGTGCATAGAAAAATCACCCCAACCTCTGCCTCTGCCATCACATGGCCTTCTTCTCTCTGTGTCTCTGTGTGATCTCTCCTTAGAAGGACACCAGTCACTGGACTTGAAGCCCACTCTAATCCAATAGGACCTCATCTTAACTAGTGACATATGCAAAACCCCTATTTTCAAATAAAGCCACCTTCTGAGATTCCGAGTGGACACTATTTCTGAGAGCGGGACACATTTAAACCCACTACAGTTTGAACCCCCAATTTTTCTGCCTCCTCTGGAGAACCATATTCTCAGAGGTACAGACACTTCTCTGTGTGTACATCTCTCTCTCACTCTTTCTCTCTCTCTCTCACACACACACACACACACACACACCCCTACTCCATGTGACAGGTGAGCAAGACTTCCCAAGGACAGGCTGTGCAGCTACAGGCCGGCTGGCACACAGCCATGACAAATGACTTGTTTCTTGCCAAGTCCCACTGCCAACATCTCCTTCCATCAGAATATGCCACCAGTGATAAAGGTGAGAATAAGATCATTCGCTGTACATGAATCAAAAGCATCCCCCACGCCTGCCCCATTCTGTCAACAGCAGCCAGCCAGGATCGCACAGGCCCTGGGACTTGGGGCTGCATGTGCAAGCCGCTCGCCCCAGGGACAGATGCACTTTTCCTACAAAGTGTCTGCCACACTCCTGCCTTAGGAGTCTGGAGGCAGCTCCCCCAGCCATGGCCCTGCCTTGGGAGCCCAGAGGCTCCCCTTCCCCATCTCTATATGTCCACCTCTGGCTCCCACCTGCTTAGGTCTGGAAAGCGAACCACTGGTTGGTTAAGCTCTATCTGCAGGGACACGGAGGGTCATGCAGACTTCATCTTATGTGCTTTTTAGCCTAGGGCAGGGCAGGCCGATGGAAATGATGGGTTTGGTCCCCACAAAGTAAAAATGGAAAAGCTGATGCCCATAAGAGGACTGGTTAAACATGAGACAGTGGAGCCACACAGTGGGAAACCAGACCTTGAAGAAGACAGCACAGATAAGTATGTGACACGGAATGACACCGGGATGTTACTGATGGGATGAGGTAAGTGACGTCCCATTATCTGCTTACCAAGTCTGCCCCTATGCCACGTCTCCTTTGTAGGACTCAGAGGGGCAGCAGCCAAGAGAATGGCAGCTGGTTCTCCTTGATGGGCCTGAGGAGGGCTTCATGGAGGAAGAGGTGTTTTGTGTGCGTCCTCCTTCCTATTTGGGATGACCCTTCACAGGCTGTGCTCTACAGAAGTGGAGGGGCCACACCTTTCTCTCTGCTTGCTCCCCGCTAAAACTGTGCAGGTATGAGACCTCGGCTCAGCCTATCACACACAACTTCCCGGTTAGCACATGACCAGCAGGGGCCAATCAGATGCTCCCACCTGGACCCATGAGCCAATGCCACAAAGGGGTCATGGCAGGGAAGTCAATCATGGTACACTGGCCGGTCTCTGAGGCCTCAGGGGTCAGCAGCTGACCTGGCCTGTCCCAGACAAGCTTGTGCTGCCTACTTCCAGGCTTCCCAGGCTGCCATGTTAAAAAGCTGTTTTTTCTGGCCAGATGCGGTGGCTCAGGCCTGTTAGCCCAGCACTTTGGGAGGCCAAGGTGGGTAGATCACAAGGTCAGGAATTCAAGACCAGCCTGGCCAAGATGGTGAAACTTCGTCTCTACTAAAAATACAAAAATTAGCTGGGTGTGGTGGTGGTGGGCGCCTGTAATCCCGGCTACTTGAGAGGCTGAGGCAGAGAATTGCTTGAACCTGGGAAGCAGAGGTTGCAGTGAGCCGAGATCGCACCACGGCACCCTAGCCTGGGCAACCAAAAAAGCTGGTTTTTCAGTCCCTTTTCAGAATCTGCAAGCCCCAGGTGGAGCGACAGTTTGTCCTCATTTTTGCAAGTCAGTGCATTCCAAGTGACACCTAAGTTTGTGGATTACCTGGAACCACAGCTCCAGATACTTAGTGTCACCCACTTTGCACCAGACACTCTGCTGGCAGCCATGGCTGCCATGAAAACGAAGCCCGGAGACCTGGCTGGAAGAGCTCATAGGCAGACGGACCACAAGATGATAAAACAGCGAGGCAACTCCAGGCGCAATGGGTCCAGAGAGACAAGTACAGGGCACGTGGCGGAGGACTGCCAACGGGGAGCCACCTGCACTGGCACTGGGAGGCCAGCCTCCCTGGGGGGCTGACACTGTCTGAGACTTGAACAGGAGAAGTCACAGTTCCTGCCCACCCACTTCACAGTTACCATGAGCACAGAATGAAACAGGATGTAAGAAGGGCTTTGTGAGCAGGCCGGGTCTGCGGACCTTCAATAATAGGGCTGTCATCTTACTCCACCTCCCGATAACCAGATGCCTCACATGTGCTGAGAAGAATGTATGTGAAGTCAACTTGGGAAAGAAATCCCACAATGCTTCAAGAAGAGCTACTCCCTGTTGCAAAAACCGAGCCACGCCCCTGAGGCACTGCAGCCCGATGGTGCATTGGGGCAACTTTGGTGCAGCTTTTTTTTTAATTACTCTCGAGTAGTCAAACCTTGGTTTCTCACAAATACTCAAGCACCCTTAAGAGGCGCACACCAAAAAGGGGAATGGAGACCCAAGGCTTGGGAGATTGATGAGGCTCCATAAAATATTGACTTTCTAACAGCCAGTAACAAGGGCACTGAAATGGAAACAGGAGCTTCCGGGCTTGGCCGCCACTCGAGTGACACCGAGGCAGACAGTGTGGCCTGCACCATCCCTGAGGAAGACTAGTGGACCAGGGTTCAAATGTCAGTGCCCACACCGCCAGCAAGCCCTGTGACCCCGGGCATATGAGCTCACCTCTCTGAGCCTCAGCACCCTCATTTTCAGTACGGGGAAATACTCTGCTGCTGGAGCTTGGAGAATTAAATTCGGTAACTGTTTTTATTTCTAGGACCGCCACAACAAAGTGCCCCAGACGGTGCCACTTAAACAAAAGAAATCAATTTCCTCACAGTTCTGGAGCTGGATCAAGGTGTCGGCAGGTTGGTTTCTTCTGAGGCCTCTCTCCTGGCTTGCGGATGGCTGTCGTCTCCCTGAGTCTTCACGCGGTTGTCCTTCTCTGTGTGTCTCTGTCCTAGCCTCCTCTTCTTATAAGGACACAGTCATATTGGATCAGGGCCCACCTTAATGACCTAATTTAACCTTATGTACCTCTGTGAAAGCCCTGTCTCAAAATACAGTCACATCCTGAGGCGCTGGGGGTTAGGACTTCAACATATGAATTTTGGAGGGGACATAATTCAACCCTTAATAGTAACACAGTAGGACCTCAATAGACGTCATGCCTACTTGACTAGAGTTTTCAGGTAACAGGGACCAGCCTTGACAAAGCACCTGCTAAGTGCCAGCAGCATGCCATGTACTCTACATGCACCACCCCTAATCCAGGGCACACCCCAGTGAGAAGGGGCTCCCATCGCACCCCAGGGCCACAGCACTCCAGCTGTCAGCCTGGCTCCCAGTTGGCTGTGCCCTACCTGGAAGGGGCAGCAATACACTCACCTAATACTGTCTCATTCCTTCAACAAATATTCATGCAGCCCTACTGTGTGTCAGGCCCTGTGCTACCCACTGGGGATATTTTGGGGTTTTCTTTGTTTTAGTTTTGTGTTTGTTTGTTTGGAGATGGAGTCTCACTCTGTCGCCCAGGCTGGAGGGCAGTGGCGTGATCTCAGCTCACTGCAACGTCCATCTCCTGGTTTAAGTGATTCTCCTACCTCAGCCTCCCAAGTAGCTGGAACTATAGGCACATGCCACCACACCCAACTCATTTTTGTGTTTTTGATAGAGATGGGGTTTCACCACGTTGGCCAGGCTGGTCTTGAACCCCTAACCTCAAGTGATCCATCCACCTCAGCTTCCCAAAATGCTGGGATTACAGGCGTGAGCCACCATCCTCAGCCCCCGCTGGGAATATTTTGGAAAGCAAGAAACACCCTTAAAGGTCTTGCATTCCAGTGAGGAGGAGAAGCCCAAACAGGTAAACAGACCAAAAAAGTAATCATTCACTGTAATACAGTATTTCAGAGGAAATCAACAAAGGGTTGAAACAGAGAAAATAGGGGAATCTTTTTTTGATAAGCTGAGGAGAGCCTCAGGGTAAGGAGGAGTCAGAGGGAGACAGCTAGAGGTCAGGAACCAGCTAAGAGCAGGGAGGGAGTGGTGTGAGCAGAGGCCAGCAAGGCAGGTAGGGCCAGCCATGTAGTAGCGCCATGGAAGGGTGTGTGTTATGTGTTTTAAGTTAGAATCAAATATTTTGAGAGTGTGTTTTGATTCCAGTGGTTCCCTCCTGCACAGACTTTGTCCGTTCACTGCCCACCTGGCTGTCCTGGGGCCAAGGCACCTCCTCCTGCCCATGCTTTCTGCCAGGTGTCCTGGCTGGAGGAAGGGCCAGGGCAGAAGCTGTGAGGAAGCAGCTTACGGCCAGGAGGCTCTTGCTCATAGGGAAAGCCAGATCAGGAGGAAGGAGCTGCCCAGGGAGGGGGAACCTCAGCCCCTGGAGCTCCAGCTCTGGAGAGGAAGTCACAGCAGCAGTTGCCAGGCTCCTAAGTACTCTAGAGGCATGCATTTAGGGGGCCACTGTCTGGTCATCTCCCTCATCAAATGACGTAATGGAGGCCCCACTGGGGAAAACCACCTGCCATCCTGCATGAGCTGACAGTTCCTCCCGACGAAAGCACAGTGGTCTTTAAATCTTATAGGTGGCGCTAACTCAGCAGATATGACCTAGGGACCCTCTGCAGAGAGAGGACTCTTTGTGGTCCTCCATTCAAGCCACCAGACACTGCTGACCCATGTCGGGCACTGAGGGGTAACCACAGCATGACTGACCTGAGCCTCCCCGAAAGGGACTGAGGAGCTGGGGAGACCTGTGGATACACAGAGAGGCTGGAGAGCCAGACCTCACCAGGCAGTGTGGATGACATTCACTGGGGAAACCAGCAAACGCCTCCTCCAGAGAGGGCTCTGGTGTGGCTGCTGAACAGCTGCTGGGTTTGACAAAGTGAGGGGAAGGGCATTGAGACAGAGGGACCACGTGTGCAAGGGATGGGACCATATGGGAGATGCAGGGGTAGGGGCAGATCACCCTTCCCAGACCCCTCAGCCCCCGCAAGACCCAGGACACATCAACTCACTGCTCAGAGTCTATTTCTTGGAGGCGAAAGTGGGCCAAGGCTAAGACCATACAGCCAGACTTTCTGGGTTCAAATCCCAGTGCCACCACCACCCAGCCGCATGGCCACAGGAGAACAGGTAGCCTCTTTAGGACTCACTTTCCTCCTCTGTAAACTGGGGACACAAGAGTCTCTACTTCAGGACCATGATGAGGAATGGCTGAATGGTGTGGGCAGAGCTCAGCACGTGCCTGGCACCCAGAGGGGTCTTTACAGGGCACCTACTCCTATTCCCATTCATGTAGGGTTGCCGTGAGGATGACAGAAAGTGGCGATGCTGGGAGCCTTCTCTGTGGTGGCCCTACGACAGCCCGCACTGCTCCCTGTCCCCCAACCCCATAACTTCCTGCCCACCTCTCGGCCCCTCCCACAAGGCTGTGCATGCCCCAGGGCAGGCACATGGACATGTCCAGTGTCAGCATCATTAAGAACCCAGTTGCTAGCCAAGCCTAACTGAGCCTCGCGGGCTGTGTGTCTGGGGCACCTGCACAGCCTGTCGGATCTGAATCATCTCATTGTGGAGTCAACACCTGAAGTGCAGGAACATGGCAGCCTCTCCTCATGAGTCATGTGAGGATCCGGGTCATCCAGTGCTGCTGGAAGCCCGGGGGTGTCCACACCAGCACCAGCTCAGAATCAGCCGGAGCACACAGCTCAGAGGTTGCATGCTCCTCTCAGCCTCATCCATGACATGTGAACCTGAGGCTTTTGGTTTATGAGCAAACTTGAAACCCACTGCCTTTTCTGCACAGGCTGCCTGGGCAGTTGCAATTTTCCCTTCATCACGTGCAGGAACCCTCAGAAATGCAGGTCCGTGCCGTCCCCATCACGGCAGTGCAGCCAGGGCGCTTCTGAATCCTCCCGGGTGCTAGAACACAGGGACACTCTGTTCAGGCAAATTGGTATGCACACAGAACAGGGCCCAGTATGGAAGCTTGGCACTATAGGTGTGTGTGTGTGTGTGTGTGTGTGTGTGTGTACACTTGTGTATGTGTGTGTGCATGTGCATGTGGGAGGTGTGTGTGCATGTGTGTGAGTGCATGTGCATGTGTGTATGTGAGTGCATGTGTGTCCATGTGTGTGAGTGCATGTATGTGCACGTGTGTGTGAGTGCATGTGTGCACGTGTGCGTGAGTGCACGTGTATGTGCACGTTTGCATGTGTGTGAGTGCACATGTGTGCACGGCATGCTTGTGTATGAGTGCAGTGTGCACGTATGTGAGTACATGTGTATGTGCACGAGTGTGCATGTGTGAGCGCATGTGTGTGAGTGCATGCATCTGCATGTGTGTTGTGGGAGAGGCACTCCACAGCTCCAGGTCCATCAAGATCAGGCCAGGGCAGGGGCGGGATGAGCCTGCTCCCGGGGAAAGTCCTGCTTCCCTCATGGCTCTGATCTCCCATCCAATCCAAGGAACAGGTAGGCTGCCTGGCATTGCTATGGCACCTGCAAGGCAGTGGCTAACAGCCTTCCCAGCAGGCTCCGTCCTGGGACCAACTCAGTCCCTCTGCCCAGCCTTGGGTGTCAGGAAGCGGCTACCTGGATAAGGCAGCAGCCACAGCCTGCCACCCTCCACGCGCATATCACCCTAGCCAGCTGGTCAGTGAGAGGGAGGTGGGCAGAGACGGCCTCGCAGTCCAGCTCCCCTCCGCGATCAGCTGCTGAAAACCCCCACGCTGGGGATCCTTCCATTGCCGCCTGCGTTTGTTCCACAAGCCCTTCCTGCTGCCCACTGTGTGCCGGCTCCGGGGGAGGACTTGGGACGGAGACAAACCTGCCCTCAGGCGTTCCTGGCTTCGGACAGAACAGACTGACTAGGAAGGACACAGCCCCAGACTGGGGTGCAGCCACTCCCTCGGTGCAGGGACGTGTGTCATCACGAAGGACATCTGCGTGGCGATTGTGGTCGTATTTCAGATACAAGCGTCACCTCTGAACTACAATATGCCCACTCTATTCCGCACTCCCTGTGGTGTTCAGACACGCACTCAGTGTCAGGACCAAGGGTGGCAGAGTCGACTCTGATGGAGCAGAGCTGGGACGGCAGCCCGGGAAAGGCAGGCTGGACGGGGCCCTGGAGAAGCCAAATTCAGCCACCTTGGTCCACTTCAGACACCAAGCCCTGAGCCACAGGGGCAGGCGGGCCTCTCCAGGCCCAACAGTGTGGGCCAGGCCAAACACTGGCTCCAGCAAGTCCTGCTCCCCAAGTTTTACACACAGAGCTCAAGGAGGCAGCTGTCCTGTGGGGGAGTCTTTGACCAGCAAAACGGGGAGGAGCCAATTCCAAAAGCTAAGCTAACTTTGAAAATCTCTTCCATCAGCCTGAGACTGAGGTGGAAGCAGGTAGGTACCACAGAGGGTACATCCAAGGGGGATGCTGGTGAACCCCAAGAAAAGAATATCTGACCTGCCAACACCACGTGCCAATGTGTGCCAAGGGGGGGAAGGGGAGCACTCGAGGTCCTCCTGCTCACTGCTCCATACCCACGGGGCTGGGAGGCCAGGCTGTATGCCCAGTGTCTAGAATAGTGTCTGGCACACAGTAGGCACTCAATGTTTGTTGAATGAATAAAAGAACTGAGCTGGAGAATGAAGGACAGTTTAATGTTCAGTATCTTAATACTCAAACGAGGGCCTGAGAAACCCTGGCAGGACAATGCCTTCCAACTAACGCAACAGCCACCTCCTTGGTCCTGCCGCCTGGGACCAGCCACCTCCTTGGTCCTGCCACCTGGAGCCAGGCCGGGGGCTCCCACATGGGGTCCCTTTCCGGGAGGCCACTGCTGCTAACATCACACTCTCAGCTCCCATTTCACACCCTTGGCTCCAGCAAGACCGAACAACGGGCAGGCTCCTCACTGTGCCTCTGGGCTTCACACAGGCTGCCCCTGCCAGGAATGAGCCGACCCCATCTTCCCAGTCAGGCCTTTTCTTCCCCTCCTCAGCGGCTCCTCCCCTGTGAGCCCTTTCCAGACACCTCATTTTCAGCCACCCTTGCTCCTAAGCCAGCACTCACCAATACGCTCAGTGATGGATCTGTTTATACACCTAATAGACACGGAGCCCCTGGAAGGAGAGGAGAGGCCTTGCCTTTAGGAAGGTTTTAGCAGCCAGTGACTGAACCCCCAGTCTGAGAGGGTGAAACCAGAGGGGCGTTCTCTAACACACATGAGGTCTAGCTTCGGGTATCAGGTCTGCACAGGCGCCAGCACAGGCAGGACTCTGGGAAAGAGGCTCCCCCTCCTGCGTCACTTACTATCTCAGGCCATGCCCTAACAGCCTGAGGAGGTGGGCACTGTTATCCCTGCTTCATCAGTGAGGGAACGAGCCAGAGAACAGAAGAGCTGGGGCGCCAGGATTTGAAAGCACAAGCTGTGCCCACAGCTGCGCCTCTGAGGCGGGCCCCCCAGCACTGCAGGAGGAGCGCCTGCAAGAGCTGCACATCATAATCCATACCTTCCTCCGCAAGAGCTGCACATCATAATCCATACCTTCCTCCGCAAGAGCTGCACATCGTAATCCATACCTTCCTCCGCAAGAGCTGCACATCGTAATCCATACCTTCCTCCTTATGCAAATCCTACAAGTTCATCCTGTTTCTTTGCACAGAGTTTTAAGATCAAGACTATTTGGTGAGTATCCAAAAAGGAGGCCGGAGAGCTTTCGGGAGAGGAGGCTCTCATGGCCTCCATTGCCTCCAGGTTCCCATCGACACGGCTGTGTCTGGAGCCTCTAACCCCTGCCTGGATGGACGGTGGCTACAGCAACTCCACAAGACAGGCTCACCCCAAGAAGCCAGGGCAGGGCAGGCCTGAAGTCTCCAAGGTCCAGCCAAGTTGATGGAAGCTGATTTCTACTGACTCTGTCCTGGTCCACCAGCCCTCAGGCCTGGGTAACAGCACCGTGCAGGAGCTCAGGTGGTTCTTTGTAGAGGGGCAGGAGACAGGCAAGAGACCAACTGCACAGAGTCACCTGTGACTCTCCCATCAGGGGTCAGGGCCTCCTCCATTTTTCTGCTTTGGAAATCGCACCGTGTTGGGGAAGCAGACGTTTCACAGGCCTGGAGGGTTGAATTGTTTGGACGGAACTCAAAAGGGCCTGACGAATAAGCCAGACGATTCCTCACACTGCAAATGCCAACAGTGACGGTCACTGAGCACCCCCACCAGGGGCTGGGCCCCTCACTGAGTGTCTCAGTCTCCAAAAACAGCCATGCAAATTGGGCAGCGCTGGGCTGCATTTGACAGAGACAGAAACAGAACCCTGAGAGCAAAAGGCAAGCAGCTCCAGGTCACAACCAGGAAGTGGCAGTGCGGGTCTCAAACCCAGGTCCTCCTGATTCCGGGTCCTGCACGGTCTTCCACTGTAGGTGATCTAACCTTGTGCCACGAACTTTCCTTTATACCAGGGGGCAGTCAATTCTTTCTGCAAAAGGCCAGACAGCCAATATTTTTGGCTTGGTGGGGCATATGTCCTCTTTGGCAACTCCGCAACTCTGCCATTAGAGTACAAAGGCATCCACAGACGATGTGTAGATAATGATGTGGGCGTGTTCCAATAAAACTTTATTTACAAAGACAGGCAGTGGGCCAGATTTTGCTCATGGGCTATAGCTACCACCCCCTGCTGTATACCGTGTGACAGAGAAGCAGCAGCCTTAATTCCTGACTGCGACACTGCCTTTTCTAACTGAAACACCACACTTGCGTTCTCATTTCTAGGCTTACTTTTCACATGTCCTTAAAAAGCAAAAGTATGGTTCTAATCAGATAATCGATCATCAATTAACAGTGAATCTCAGGCCCTCATACCTGGTAGGAAGACAGTAACGAAGACCAAAACCTTCAGTAACTTGTGTAGTTTTAAGACTTTGTAAAATAAAAACCATTAAGGAAATTGAAAAAATTGTAAAGGAAACCCAAAACACATAGCCAAGTATCCATACGAACATCAGCAGGATGGACTGAGAATGATCCCAGAGAGACCCCGCCGCCCCGTGAAGCAGAATCGACTGCGCTGCTCCACACACCTCTCATTTTCTCTAATACGAAACCTCCGACAGGGATGAAAAGCCAAATTTATGACCCGTCTCATAGTGTTTCACCAGCTTCTCGAAGCTTTATTTTATGCTAACACCGAGGTCATCAATTCTTGGTCCAAAGGAGTTTGCTGGCAGGGGAGAAACAAATGCCCAGTCACAGCCAAGAAGGAAGGTGCGCGAGAGCAGGCCAGCTCCGGAGAAGGCAGGTGTGGAATGGGGCCAGCTGTATGCCCACAGCATCCGAGAGGGTCTGAGAAGGAGGCCTGTTGGAAGATGACCTGCTTCTACCAAACACAAGGCTCAGAGAGGTCACACACCTTACCCGAGGTCACACAGCACATCAGCAGAAGTCTGATTCCCAACAGAATGCTCCAGTTTTATAATCTTAGAGCACCACATGAAGCCTCACTAGTCCCCGCCTCATACGTGGGCCACGATCAACCTTGGGACCTTGAATTCCCGTTTAAGAAGTGAGCACATGAATCCATTTCCTCTTCCAGGAGAATGAGCCACATTTTCCTCAGCACCAAGATCAATGAAAGCAGCCAGGACCATATCCTTGATGGGATGGTACTCATACCTGCCCCTGTACCGTCCCACCCAACCCCATGAAACACTAGGTATGAGCATCCTGATCTTCCAGGAGGAAGCTTAGGCCCAGAGAGGCAAAGCAAGTTACCTGAAGCCACACAGCCTGTACCAGACACCTGGCTCCAGATCCATGTCTTCTCTGCTCTACCTGACTGCCTGGTATCAGTGAAAAGCCAAAGGGTTCTGAGTGGTCCAGAAAGGGAGAAGTGACTTCCCTATGTGGCTCCCCAACTCCAGAGTGCTGGGGAGAACTGGTTTTCACAGTCTCAGTGAAGAAAGACTGAAGGCCCTCAGAGGGGCGTGCACACCTCCTTCGTGCACACGAGGGAACATGCTGAAACGTTCGTTTAGCAGAATCAGGCCAACTTCGTCATCCTACCCAATCCTCCTTTCAACAGCTTTGCAGATCCAGCCGGGCACAGTGGCTCACGCCTGTAATCCCAGCACTTTAGGAGGCCAAGGTGGGTGGATCACCTGAGATCGGGAGTTTGAGACCAGCCTGGCCAACATGGTGAAATCCCATCGCTATTAAAACACAAAAATTAGCTGGGCATGGTGGTAGGCACTTGTAACCCCGACTACACAGGAGGCTGAGGCAGGAGAATCGCTTGAACCCAGGAGGCAGAGGTTGCAGTGAGCTGAGATGTGCCACGGTACTACAGCCTGGGCGGCAGAACAAGACTGTCTCAAAAAAAAAAAAAAAACCAAAAAACTTTGCAGATCTCCAATCCCGTTTGTTGGAGGATGTTTATCAGTGGCTTCCATAGCCTGGGCCACTGCCATCTGCCCCTTCTGGGACCCCACTTGGGAGATTCTGGGTGACTGAGATGGTTCTGCCTCTAAGCCCAAGGATCGGTGTAACTGAGCAAGGAGGAGCCGCCTGAGGGGGCGAAGGTGTGAAAGCAGCCAGGGTGTGCAGGTCCGTGTTACCTGGAGGGAGGGAGGCTCCGAAAGGCAGCCCCTGTCAGCTTCCGTGGTATAAATACACCTGCCTTGGCCAATTCCAAACTACCAACACAATGTCCACTGGCTCACCAAACTGAAAATTACCCAATCAACCTGACGAGCTAGTGTGAGGGCTCCAGAACACCGTGAGGGTCCTGTTCCCAGGACAAAATGAGAGGCAGGCCCCAGGCTTTCAGGACCATCCTTGAAGAAAGCTTCTCATGCTGAGACGATCATCCCCAGAAATCTGGAGAGCCCAGAGGTTAGGCCAGCAGTCACCCTGGTTACTTTGTGACTCAGGCCCTTCCAAGTCCGTGTCCCTAAGGGGCTGAGTCCAAAGCCATGGAGGGACACGGTTTGGGATCGACTCCGGTCCAGAGCGCCCCTTCCCTGGCTCCTCTGTGCTTGAGCACCTCCTACTTGTACCTGGAACTCCCCTGGGTACACTTCCTTGATAAACCACTTACACTCTAGCCCACGCCTCAGGGCCTGCCTCTGGGGAGCCTGGCCAAGACCCCCTGGACCTCTAAGACCCCAACCCTGCCCTTGATACCCTTCCCAGCCGTGTGACCTTGGGGTGGAGGATGGGCCGTAGACTGAGTCATTTGGGGCTGCTCCCACAGGATACTACAGACTCGGGGGGCTTATAACAACACACACTTGCATCTCACTGTTCTAGAGTCTGGAAAGTCCACGATCAGGGTGTGGAAGCCTCAGTGTCTTGGGAGGTCCTCTTCGTACTTCACAGAGGGCCCTCTTCTCACTGTGCCCTCACGTGCCAGAAGGCAGGGAGCTGTCTGGGGCCCCTTTAAAAAGCCACTAATCCCATTCACGAGGGCTCCACCTTCATGACCTGATCACCTCCCACAGGCCCTACCTCCTAACACATCACCTTGAGGCTTAATTTCAATATATGAATTTGGGAGAACCCAGACCTTCAGACGGCAGCAGCAGGCTCTGATGACTACCTCTCTAGCTACTCAGTCCCCCCGCCATCCACACGGCTACAGTCTTTGCCCAGTGAATGGCTCCCACCTCCTACCCGTCCCCACCCTCCCTTGCCTTTCCTGAGCCAGGCTCACCCGCTGCCCAAGTGACCTTTCCGAGAGACAAGTCAGAGTAGGCCACAGCTGTGCCTTCCGGGGCTCACGGTGGACTGAAGGCCCCTCGACTGGTTCAGTAGACATCTCTGAGCCCCAGGGATGAAGCAAGTGTTGTGCTCCACATCCTCAGTAGGTGTCCAGGGACCGTCAGGACCTGGCGCCTGCTGCCTTGTTTCCCCCTCTCCCCTCTACTTCAGCACCTTCAGTGACCCGGAGCTCCTGAGCACACAGCAGCTCTGCTGTCTTTACCGAAATCCCAGGGGCTGGGCCCAGTATTTCAGGATAGAGGATGTTTTGGGCTACACAGTAATATAGTGCACAGGTCACCTCGGAGATCTGTCACCCCCAAGGGCTTCTGGGACAACATGCAAACACATTTCTATTTCCGTACATAACATGTGAAACTTCACACTACAGGGAGAGATGACTTGGTTTCGCACCAGTTTAGGTTGGGGTTCACTACCAATTAAGTCAGGAAGAAATCTTTAGGGTTTCAGAGCCTCTCGGATTTTAGAATACAGTTGACCCTTGAACAACACGAGTTGAGCTGTGCATCAAAAACCCACATATAACTTTTGATTACTCAAAAGTTACTTATACATGATTTTCTTCCCCCTCTGTCACCCCTGAGGCAGCAAGACCAAACCCTCCTCTTCCTCCTCAGCCTACTCAGCATGAAGACAACAAGCATGAAAACTATAGTGGTCCCCATCCACTTAACGACGAGCAAATATATTTTCTCTTCCGTATGATTTTCTTAATGCTGTTTTCTTTCCTCTAGCTTACTTTACTATGATACAGAATATAACACCTACAACATACAAACTGTGTTTATCAACTGTTCATGTTATTGGAAGTCCAATCAGGAGAAGGCTGTTAGTTAAGTTTTTGGGGACTCAAAAGTTACATGTGGGTTTCTGACTGTGCAGAGGGTTGGCTCCCCCAACCCCATGTTGTTTGAGGGTCAGCTTTGTTGCCGAATGGCTCTCTTTGTGCACAGCTGCAGGCTTCCCTGCTATTTACCTAGAAGGAGAACAGAGGGGCTGCAGGCCTTGGACATAGCTGGATATTGGCAAATGACTTTGCAAATGGTTTGCTCTCATATCCATTTCCAGTGGTGACACGAGTTTCCATCTCTCCAGCCCCACCCCATACTTGGTATTAGGAGATGTCAAGAGTTTTGCAGATCTAAGGGGTGCCACCTAAAACAGTGCCGCTGAGTTTTCCCATCATTCTGTAAGACCCAGCAGCATCACTTCCCCTGGGCAGCTTCCCTGAAGCCCCAGGCTGAGGACCCCTCCCTGTGCCCTTGACTGCCTGGCTGTGGCTGCTCTGTGGTCAAGTCATTCTCCCGTAAGGCCAAGAAGCATACAGGCTCCAAATACAGACCCTGGGTTCAACAATACACGTGGTCATTATAATAGCTAATTTGACTATATTTATTTTGTGCCAGGTTCTGTCCTCGTTCTTTCACTTGAATTGACTCAATTCATCCTCAATGACTTATGAAATAGGCACCAGTGCTACATCCATCTTACACCTCTGAGACCCACAGAGGTGAAGTAACTTGTCCAACGTCAACAGTGAGAGGGAGCCCAGTCAGTGTCCAAACAGCTGACTCTAGAGCTTATGGTCATAACCTAAGCTGTGCAGCCTTTGGTTAAGCAAAGAGTATAAAATGCAAAGGGCACAAAAAAAGCTAACAGTGAAAATAAGTCTCCCTTAGGCCCTTCTCCCACTCACTCAGCTCTCCGGTCTAGTGGCAACCACTATGAACAAGCAGGTGCACCATCCTACCAGAAGGAGTGATCGCACAAGCAATCACAAGATACCACGTTTTAATCATAAATGATGCCAGGGATCATCCATTGTTTTGCACCTTGCTCTTTTCACCTAAAGAATCTTAGACATCATTCTACATCACTGCACCCTGAGCTGTCACGTTCTTTTCATTGCTGTCCGCTGTCACACTCTGGAATACTTTATGTAAACAGTCCCCTTTCGATGGGCATTGCAGTTATTCTTCCCCATTATCAACAATGCTATGACAAATGTGGACAAATGTCGTTTCTCACTTGTATATATTTTTAAGACAGAGTCTCACACTGTCACCCAGGCTGGAGTGCAGTGGCACGATCTTGGCTCACTGCAACCTCCACCTCCTGGGTTCAAGCAATGCCTCAGCCTCCCGAGTAGCTAAAATTACAGGCATACTCCACCATGCCTGGCTAATTTTTAGAGTTTTAGTAGAAATGGGGTTTTGTGATGTTGGCCAGGCTTGTCTCAAACACCTCACCTCAAGTGATCTGCCCACCTAGACCTCCCAAAGTTCTGGGACTGCAGGAATGAGACAATGCACCCAGCTCTTACTTGTGTATTTTCATCACACAATGATTAGAAGTGAAATCCGTAGCTGAGTTTCTGAGAGTTCCTGTTTCCCTTATATCCACACCATCATGGCAATAGCTATTTTAGTCCTTGCCTATATGATAGATAAAAAACAGTATCTTAACTTGGAGTTTTCTTATTATGAGTGAGGTTTAGTTTTCACGTATTTAAAAGATACTTCTATTTCCTTTTACATAAACCGTCTCCTCGTCACATCCCTTATCTATTTTTCTATTGAATTTTTTTCAGGGGTTCTTGATTTATGAGGAAATTAGTCCTTCTCTATTATATGTCTTTCTGTTGACCTCATCATGTCAGTATTTTCTCAGCCACACACTGTATTCCCTTTCAGTCCATAAATTCAAATCTTATTTTTAGAATGTTCTGGAATTGTGTCTTAAATTTTTTTATTTTTTTCATTCTCATCTTCAGGGATACCAATTATGTGTATGTTGGATCCCCTTGTCTGTCCTGTATATCATGTGCTTTCTAACATTTTTCTCTGTCTCTTTACATTAATTTATCTTGCTTTTTCCAATCCCATCTTCCATATCTCTTACTGTGTTTTCTGTGTTCCCTGTCATGATCATTTAAGTGCAGACTTCATTTTTTTAGATGGGTTTATTTCTTAATCAATCTACTTTGTGGAGCTCATCATATCAGGTTTCACTCTCTTCTGTCATGTTACCACTTCTCCTGTGTTCTTGTATCTCAACTTTATACTCTTGTTTTATAGGTGTGATTGCTCAGTTATTTTTCTCCTTAATTCAATACATTATATACAGTTGATGTTTTCATCTGATTTATGGCAAATGTTTTCTTGTGCATAGTTTTCATCTGTTACTTTCTTTATTTTTGGAGGATCTTGAGATAGAGCTTGCACTGGTCCTTACTGATTATTACTCATCTCTGAATGTGGTGAGTTCTTCCTGAACCATCTGTTTATACAAGATGCATGCACAAGAGTGTCCAAAAGAATAATCTAGTTCTTATAAAACAGGCTTGTGGGTGAGTGTCAATTCTTTTGGCCTTTACTTCTTGTTAAAGATCAGATGCCACAGGCTGGCACATAACAAAGCCCTTTTCTCCACTTTGCCTCACTAGCAGACTGCCTTTTGAAAATATGTCTTGTCCATGTCAGACCTTGTTCACCCCAGACTTCCCTTATTTTACTCTGTGCAAAACTAGATCTGGGACAGCTCTCACACCAGCTGTTATGGTCTGAATGTGTGTCCCCCCCAAAATTCATATATAGAAATCCTAGCCCCCAGTGTGATGGTCTTAGGAGGTAAGATCTTTCAGAAGTAATTAGGTCTTAGGGGTGAAGCACCCATGTGAGATTGGTACCCTTATAAAAAAGATCCCAGAGAAATCCATAGCCCCTTCTGCCATGTGAGCACACAGCAAGAAGGCACCATCTATGAATAAGAAAACAGGTCCTCAGCAAACACCAAATCTGTGGCACCTGGATGTCAGACTTCCCAGCCTCCAGAACTGCAAGAGATGAAAGTATGCTGCTTACAAGTCACCCAGTCTAAGGTATTCTGCTATAGCAGCATGAACGGACTAAGACACCAGCCAGTGCACTTGTTCTTGTTGCTCCATGAGAGGAACTATAGGTCTTGCCTTCTGAGCCCACCACATAAGGTCCAGAAAAGTTCTGCTTCGTTCACTCTGTCTGAGAGCCCTGGGCATTTTCTTTCCCTGTGGAGATGTCCTGCACCCATTTTTGACCTTTACTGCACCTCCCCACATATGAGGTTCCAGATGCTATGGTTTCATGAAAGATGTCATCTGCATTTCCATTTGTTCCATTTGTTTCTTCAGGATAGTTTCCAAAAGGAGAAAAGAGAAACACTCTCTGCTCTGTTGCTAGAGTTCCCTGAGCCATGCTTCAAACCCTGGTCATTTGGCTCCAAATTCAGCATGTTTCCTGCTGTTCCATATGACTCATTGACATGAACCAGGGGTCAGCAACCCTCTTCCATAAAGGCCCAGAGGATAAATACGGGGCCACACTGTCTCTGTCACAACGATTCAACCCTGCTGTTGTAGTGTGAGAGTAGCCACAGGCAATACCTAAGCAAAGAGGTGTGACCGCATTTTCATTTAAACTTTATTTAAAAACAGGAGGTGGCTCAGATTGGCTTGTGGGCCATAGTTTACCAACCCTCAATCTAGACTATAAAGCTGAGGTCCAAATGCCCAAGTTGTCTTTGGCTAACTAGTTCACAGACGGGCTTTGGCCCAAATGATGTTTACACACTGCCAAGCAAACATTTCAATATTGAAAGATTCGACATGTAGACCTGAATTTCTGATTTCTCTCCAGAAATTCTAAGAGCCAGCAGATGCAGAACCCCGCAAGGCTATGCCTGCCGGTACACCTTAGTCCCCGCCCCTCCTTAAGGCATGGATGGACCGTTAGTTTGCCGCCGTCAGCGTCACGCTGCCCTGTGTCTTGCTTATGCATTTTGTACTTTGCTCACTGATAGGACCTTCCTGGTTTCTTTGGGCATCCAAGTTTTAAAAACCACCAAAGCAAAGGAGAAGGATCTCGCTCCATTTCCTCAACAAAGTTTGGCAAAGGGCTAGGCTGAACGTAGTTGACAAGAAATACAACTGTAAGCTGGGTGTGGTGGCTCATGCCTAGAATCCCCACACTTTGGGAAGCCGAGGCAGGCAGATCACGAGGTCAAGAGATCAACACCATCCTGGCCAACATGGTGAAACACTATCTCTACTAAAAATACAAAAATTAGCCAGGCGTGATGGCATGCGCCTCTACTCCCAGCTACTCGGGAAGCTGAGGTGGAAGAATCCCTTGAACCTGGGAGGCAGAGGTTGCAGTGAGCTGAGTTTGTGCCACTGCACTCCAGCCTGGCAATAGACCAAGACTCTGTCAAAAAAAAAAAAGGAAATACAATTGTAATTGCTTAGAAGCAAACTGCATCTCTGACCTCACCCATCCCTTCACCAGCTGTCTGATTCAACTGTTTCATTTTAAAGATGGGGAAACTACCACCAGAGTATGGAGTGGCTTGACCAGAAGTAAGAGGAAGTTAGGGGCACAGCTATTATCAAATGTCACCTAATCCAGGACTCTGTCACTTCTAAATCCTCGAGAGCCCTCTACAAAACTGAGCTCAATCTAGGTAGAGTCACGTCTCTTACTATATGTTTTCCATGTTGACTAGAATGTACTTTTAAAGACTCATAAATATGCTCAGGGATTAGTGCACAGGACAGGTACAGCGGCCAACACTATGCAGTTATTGTCTCTTAACTGCTCACAGAAATGACAGGTGTCATTTAAATTGTGGAAGGAAATCTTCGTCCCCACAATGACAACACTATCTCCACCATGAGTTCTTTCTGACCTAACCTCATTCAGTCCTCAACACCCTTGTGTAGATGCATGGCCTCTGTTTTTATGTGCATCAACTGCTGCCTCCTCATAATAGAACTACAGGCCTTGGAAGGGAGGGGATAGAAATATATTAGCTTGTTTTTATTCCTTCAGTCTTCTGGATCAATCCCAAACCCGTGAGGCTACTGGCTTACTTTCAGTTTTACCAGGTTTTCTGTAGGGCAAAGAAGAGTGGTTTCATGGATCTTTGCCAGAGTTCTCATGAAAACTCCTCCTTCATGTCCTATTTCGTATCAGGCAACTGGAATAATAGTCCTGAGTCACAGTATCTAGCCTGCTTTTAACAATCCTACTCACCACTGTACAGTCACTACAACCGTCGCTTTTGCAAAGTGGGTCTCACACACTTTGTAAACAAGGAATGATGTCAATAAAATGTAAAAGTTGGGTTGGTTCAAACACAGCCTTCCTCAGTGTGTTAACGTTTTGTGCCAGCTAGAGGAAGCAACGGAACACGAAATACACTAATGGCTGAACATCAAGCCTCAAAGGAATGTGGCCCAGGAGAACAGGCTCATTCCCTGCACTCCTACCTCTCAGCTCAGTTTGGAGCAGTTGGTGGGCGGGTCTCCCTCTGTACCTGGGCCATGTCTCCAGCCACAGTTCAGCTCCCTTCCTTTCAGCCCCTTCCATTAAATGACCTTCACTTTTTCCTTCAAGGTAAGATCGTATAGTGGTTGGAATGTTCTTTAACAGGAATTAATATTTTTTTCTTTAGTTGTGCCCAATTTTTCTAAAACTTAATATTTTTGTTGGTGTCTGGTGACGCATTACAGAGGTTTCCAGTCACCTGTCCCAACCCCATTCTGTCCAACACCTTTGATGTCATTCATGTAGGATTTTGCAGAATGAGAGTTTCTCAGGATGTCTCTATTTTATTAGAGTAGAAACACCTGCCCTTGTCTTTGGTTACTTCTATTTTTGACCTGATTTCCTGGTTTTCCATTTATGGTAGAGGGCCAGCTTTTAAATAGGGCCACCTACTAGGTGAATAATCTATGAGTGGTATCTAGGTGGTCCCTGACACAGTGCAGGCACAGAACAGAAGACAGAACATGATCGGATCTATCAAGGACCTCAGCACACACACGGCATCTTCCATTTGGACAAAGGATCCTTTCTTATTGAATCTCTGAACAGTGCTAGAGATGTGGAAGTAACCCAGTCAGTGTTATCTGTTACTATTATTACCACTATCATTACCTATTTCTACAAGAGGCAAGAATGAAATAAATAGGATGTTTCTCCTCTAGAATCAGGTAGAAGAGACACAAAGCAATGCTCACAAGCAATTGCGAAAGTGGTCCAAATACATGTGCTCTCCATTAACACTGCATACACAATGGTGTGCCAGTATCAGCAGAAATGACTAATTACTCTAGTCTGGAGCCCAAAAAGATAAAGAATTAGATTTATTATAAATGCAAGGCTGCATACTCTTGTAGAAATGACTCCTTCTGCAGTTTGTGACGTGCACTGATTTATGACACTACATTCATACGGGGATGCTTTTTCCGTTTCTAATGCTCTAAATGAGACATGGATTAAAAGGAAAATTAGAAATCTAACTTTAGTGTGATTCAAAATAGATCATTTCCATCCCAGAAGAGGCAGAGATGAAAAGGCTCTCTCCTCTCATTTTCTTCTAAATTAGGGAGACATGATCTGGGCTGATGGATGGCTCTGGTCACAACCACTCACAGCCCGGCCCTGGGACCAGCCCCTCCCACTTCATCTCCTAGAAAGTCTGCACTTGTCCTCTGCTCTTCTATCTCCAACCCAACCCCATCTCACCCACTCTCCCCATCATGAGCGGAGAGAGCTTCCTAAACTGAAGATCTAACTACAACACACTCAGACTTACGTACCTCTGTTGAATGACTGTATTTTCAGCATCAAGCCCAAGTGCCTGGATGTGGCACTCTCAGGAGTCCTTACCAACCAAGTCCACACTTCCGGCCCCAACTCGACCAGCTGGAGCTTAGCCTACCCCATGCTACTTGCTGCCCCACGCAACACTGCTATTTTTCAGGACCTTTAGCCGCCTGCCCTGCATCTTCACTTCACTGCATAGAAAACTCTTGCTAATCTCTTAGAACAAACTCAAGGAACAGCTCCAGGGGGAGCTTCCCTGACACCTCCACAGTTCCCCATCTCTCCATTACCACATACAGGTCTCACAGCCAGGGTGGCCCACCTTTTCCCAGAACTTGTCAAAATGACATTATGGTTGTCTTTCTGTCCATCTCTGTCTCCCTCCACATGGGTATGACCATAAGGACCAAGCCATCTCTAGGTGCCCAAGGCCTGGCATGGGGTCAAAAATCAACTGAGATATACATGGTGGATGGGTGGGCACATGGACAGGTGAGTACGTGTTGCATGAGTTCATTTTCTGTCTGAGTTCTCAGAAAAGAGTTTTGTATCTGAATGATCAGTTCTCTGTCCCAGCAAGCTAAGGCCAGACCCCCAATCCCATGAGCAGGAAAACCAGGAACAGGGAAACTCAGAGTCCCCTGGGACCAACAATTTGCAGGGCAGGTGTGGAGGAGTCTTAGCAACTCCCTAAGGGAGGCCCAAGCTCCCTCGGGCACCATGGCACTCACCAGAGGCTTTCAGTAGTGGGCACACTGATAGATAAGGTGCCTGGCTCTGTAAACCCCAGCAGGCTGATCTCTGAGCCCAGTCAATTGGGAGACCCAAGATGATGAACCCTGGCAGCCTTGGCGCTGTCCATGGTTCTGACTATGGCCTCCGGTTTGCTGGGGCCTCAGCACCTCCCTCCCTGACTGGCACGTTTCAGAGCCTCCCGGTATAGTTGACTGAGGCCGTCAGGGTCTGGGTCTCACCGTGTTTATCCTAGTGCCTCAGCACCTTTGCTGCCTTCTATCAGCCTGGGTTCTTCAGAAGCAGACCCTGAGGCCAAGATTTGCCTGGAAGTGATTAGGAAGTGTTGCTGGGAAAGCCAGGAAGGGTGTAGGGAAGTGGGGCCAGGACATGAAGGAGGCCAAGGGGGGTATGATAACAGGAAAACTCTCAAGGAGGGCTCAGGCCCGTGGGAGCTCTGGGGACAGTGTAGGTCCCATTCCAAAATGTACCAATCAGGAGGGAGGGAGCTGGGGTATTTAGACCCCTGTACCTGTCATTGTCTCAGTGAGGGCTGCCCCTGGCAGAGGACATGAGATTCCAGGAACCTCCAGCTCTCCAGGTGCACAGGCAAAGAGTTCCAGCAGCCTGAGGGAAGCCACCAACAGGGAACCCCCATGCAAGCTCTGGAGAGAAAGCCCTTGGGGCCCTCATGCATGAAAGCAATAAAGGGATCAGGTAATCTCAACAACATCACTACAGCCCCTCCCTCTAATCTCCCCCTGTCAAGCCCCTCCAAACCGACACCACAGTAACACTTCCAAGTCCAACTCTGGTCCCTCACTCCACGATTTAAATCCTTCCTGGCACCTCCAGCAGCAGGGGAGGAGCCACACTCCTCAGCCCACCCCATGAGCCCCACGGGGACTCCATGACCTGCAGCCTCCCTGGTTCCCAGCCTGCATGTCACAGTCCTGCCCTCCTGAACTGCCTGTGGTCCCCACACACACGCACTCTCTCTCCACCTCGCCTCTGTCCAGCCTGTGACCTCTTCCTGGACAGCCCTTCCCTGGTAGACAGCTCCAGCATCACCTTCTGCTCTGTACATGTCACCTGCAGGACCCAGCCAGCACTCTGCCCTCACCCATGCACAGACCGCAGGCCTCTGCTCCCCTTATGGCTGCCCCAGTGAGGAGCCAAAGGGCCTTGGAGGTGAACTTGATAAGGAATAAAGGGGTGGTACTGTAGAAAGGGGGGGTGAGGCCCAGCCACACCCATACAACACAATGGCCCCATGCTTCACTGTGGGTCTGTGGGCAAGCAGTGACCCCCAAGTCTCAGTTCTTCATTTGTAGCACGGGGTATGACCCCCTAGCACTGCAGTCAAGATTAAATACCTGGGGCATGGCAACTGTCCACCACTGGCCATTCCCTTCCTCCTCCACCCTACTCCTGCAGCACATCCCACCACAGAGTGGAAGGCTCCTGACCACCTGGGTCAGGCCTAGGACACAGCCCCGTCAGAGCCAAACAGTGTCCGTGGGCGGGAGAAGGCAGCCAGCCAAGAGGACCATCTCACTCTGGAATCCACTCTGCTCTTTGATCTGGAAACGGCCAGTCGCTTGGTTGTACCCAAGATGAGGACTCTGTGGCCTGAGTTATGGGGAGGCCACAGACTGTCTAATGCGCTGTCTGCACACAGGCCAGGTTTCCAGTGCCTGGCCTGCACCTCCCCACTGTCTGTGCCCCCAGCAGCAGGCCTGGCTCCCCTCCCAGCCATGGGCTGATTCTACCCAGAGAGGGGTGTTGGCTCTGCCCACTCTCGGCAGGAGGTGGGCAAGCAGGCAAAGGTCTGGGCTCAGGAACAACATACTTGGAGCTAATGGACCCACACAGAGAAAGGAAACTGCCCTTGGCCACCTGCTTCAGCCCCTGGGACCACCAAGCTGTGACTGTGGTGGTCATTCGACTGACCATTCAGTCCAGGCCATTTCAGACCCCAGTGCCTACCACAAACAGCCTGGCCCTAAGGGCTGGGAGAGGGGACAAGGCGACACCAGTGATGATTATGGGGACCATCACAGGAACCAACAGACCGAGCACTCCCTGCACACCAGGCACTCAACCTGCGCTATATATGAACTAACTCACTTTAGCCCCAACTACCCGGGGTTGGGGTACAGTCTCACTCTCCCCTTTTCGGAGATGGAGGAACTGAGGCATGGAGAGGTGACACAACTCACTGGAACCCAGCACTTTGGGAGGCCCCAGCAGGGGTCCACTTGATCTAGGAGTTTGAGGCTGCAGCAAACTATGGTGGCACCACTGCACTCTAGCCTGGGTGACAAGGAGAGACCTGTCTCTAAATAAATACATGAATAAATGGAGTTTCGAATGTATAATTTTCACTAATGCAAGTGACCCAAGAGGTGCTTCCTAAGCACGAAGGCCTGGCTCTAAATGTCTCACACCGACCTGATATTCTAAGGGAGAGCTGGGGTCCTCAGCCCTCTGCCCACAGCGTCCCAGAGCCTAACACAGGAGGACTCCTGTCCCACAGTGGCCACGTGGCTCAGAGACAAGCCCAGGCCACGCAGCTAGCAAGGTGAGGAGTGGGGCTGTGAAGGCAGGAATTCTGACTCCAGAGTCCACACTCACACCACTGCCCCAGCACCGAGAAGCTAGCGGCTGCACAGCAGTCAGATGCTCCGTGCGTTGAGTGCCGGGTCCCAGAAGTTGCCCGAGGGAGGCACCCAGTCCCCTGATCACAGTTAAGGAGACTGAAGCTTAGAAATCATGCATGACTTTCCGGCCTAAATGGCTACTTCACCACCTCCCTGCTTGGTGACCACCACTGCCTCCCATTTCCATTTGGTGTGAAGCCCTGTTTTCCACCCCAAGAACGCTGGAGAACAAAGCTCAACAGCGGCCTCCGTTATTTAAACTGCGGGGAGATAAGAGGCCGAAGCTTCTTCCCTGTCTCTTCGGTGCCACTCTTGTTAGGATCCCCTTCAGCCTTCCCAGCAGGTGCCCGGTTGCCACCTGGCAAGACTAATTCCATACACACTCTGGCCCCATCAACCTTAATAGGATTAGTGTCATCTCTGAAAACTGAATTTGGCTTTTCCATCTTCCACCAATTTCATTAGAAAGGGTTTACAGGCAAAGCATAATTTGTGAGACACACAGGGTGCGCTCCAGAGGCAGGGTGCTGCAGGACACCATGCAGACGCTGGGTAAAGCCCCAGGGCTGCAGAGGGAGCTGGGTGTCCCTTCTCTGTCCCAAGGCACCAGGCAGAGAAGCCAGACCACCCCTGCGTGAGTCCGACCCTCTGCAGTACTTCTCAGAAGTCACTCTGCCACAGCATTCAGCTGGAACCTCAGCAGCCTGATGCAGAGAACATAAGCCCAGGACTCAGGAAGCCCTGGGTTCAAACCCCACCTCTGCCACTTTCTGGCTGGGTGACTGTCACCAGTAACTCAGTCACTCTGGGCCTCATGTTCCTGGTCCCTATAAACCTGGATGGCAATGCCCAGCTGGTAGGGCTGCAATGAGGCTCTGGAAGATGCTGGGTGCTCAGCAAATGTATTACCTCCCCACCCCATGGCCCCCCCGAGGAGTCCTTGCAGACCATCTGGTCCAAGGGCTGCAAACAGATGGCTCCCGGGCGCATCTTATCTGGCTGTCTCGGCCCACACAGCCTCTCACAAGCAGCGACAAGGCAAGTGCTCACAGCAGCAGCCCAGCAGCCCAGCGCTGGCCCGTGGGTAGCCTCCTGCAGGCCCCGTCTATGAGAGAGCTTGGGAACCCAACCAGGTCCAAACAACCCTGGCACGTGGGCAGCCTCCTACAGCCCCCTGCCTGTGACAGGGCTTGGGAACCCAACCAGGTCCAAACGCCTGATGAGAAGAGAGTGGACAGGTTAGAAACACTATGGCCCAGAACCAAAGAGTTGACCAGAATCAATGGGACAGGCAAGCCCCATGTGTCTAACATGGCTAGAGGATGGAAATCAGATGGATAAATAGAACCAGGGTGCGCTGACACCCATTATGGGACGTCTGCTCCCTCCGAGATCAGGGAGGGCTGGACCAACGGGTAGGCTGGTGGAGACAGAGGGGCCAGGCACTGCGACCAGTTTTCATCTCCATTTTCATATTCAGTCTTCCTGACAAGCCCAAAGCCTAGTTGTTACTTGTCCCATCTTACAGATAGGAAGGCTGAGGCCCCAGATCCCCTGGATTCTAAGAGGGGAAATGAGGACTACTGGAAATTCCATATACACTCTGCCTCCTCAGAGGACCTCACGCAGCCCAGCTGTAAATCAGCTGGGGTTTCTAGAAATTATCAGACCCCTGATCTCCTGTTTTCCCCCTACCCCACCACTTCAAAGACAGTGACTCTGCACTTCAGGGGGTCCTAAGTGGGGGCCCAGTTTCTTAATTTCTTTTAAGCCAATGAAGCTGCACATGAAGGGAGAATCGTGGGACAAAAAGGCAAAACGTCTCCACGCTTCCAAGCGATGTCTGGCCAGGCAGATGGCTCTGCTCTCAGCATTTCTCACTTTGACACAGTAAAACCATCTGGAGAGATTAGGGACACATCCACTGGACACACAGGCAGGCAGCAGGGATCATTTCCATGTATTCACCTTCACATCTGTGGCCCAGCGCATCCAAAAATCTCTCCAGGCTGGGCACAGTGGCTCACGCCTGTAATCTCAGCACTTTGGGAGGCCAACACAGGTGGATCTCTTCAGCCTAGGGGCTCCAGATCAGTCTGGGCCACATGGTGAGGCCCCATCTCTACGAAAAATACAAAAATTAGCCGGGTGTGGTGGCACACGCCTGTAGTCCCAGCTCCTCAGGGAGCTGAGGCAAGAGGACCGCTTGAGCCTGGGAGGCAGAGGTTACGGTGAGCTAAGATCAGACCACTACACTCCAGCCTGGGTGACAGAGTGAGACCCTGTCTCAAAAAAAGCAAAATAACAACAACAACAGTAACAAAATCCCCTCCCAAAGCTTTTCAAGGTGATTCCTGGTAATCCCTGCAACAGCTAAGAACATTCTAGACGCTTATGTTCACTATCCAGCTAAAACACGACCTGCCAGAATCATTTGCACACACATGTATAAGCAACCATGCATTTAATTAATCCAACTGGAACAAATTTAAGAGAATGTAACCAAGCTTACAAAAGGATCAGATGTCAAATGGATTTCAGGCTCTCTACCTGTTAATCAAATATTCAAAAAGCAAGTGACGGTGACTGCTCTCATCTCACGCCAAGGCACAGATGAGATTTCAGAGTTAAAGCTGTTTCTTTTCATGAAAAGGGAGTATTAGCCACGCGCTGTGCCCCATGCCTGTAATCCCAGCACTTGGGGAGACCCCAGCAGGGGGATCACTTGAGTCTAGGAGTTTGAGGCTGCAGTGAGCTATGGTGGCACCCCAGCACTCTAGCCTGGGTGACAAAGAGAGACCCTGTCTCTAAATAAATAAATAAATGGAGTTTCAAATGTATAATTTTCACTAATGCAAGTGACCCAAGAGGTGCTTTCTAGACACAGAGACCTGGCTCTAAACGTCTCACTCCAACCTGATGTTCTATGGGAGGACTGGGGTCCTCAGCCCTCTGCCCGAAGTGTCCCAGTACCCAACGCAGGAGGACTCCTGTCCCACAGTGGCCACATGGCCTGGAGGCAAGCCCAAGGCTTCCCAGCTCAGGCGACTGCCCTGCATGCCCTCCAGGGACCCTAAAAGCCAAGGCTTCCTGGTGCTTACAGGTGTGGGCTGCATGCCTCTGTGCCTCAGTTTCCTCATCTGTAAAAAGCCAGTAACAATGGCACTTATCCTTAGGGTCACGTTGGATAGCAAAGTGCTCAGAACAGCACGTGATCCACCAGAACCGCCTAGAACCAAGTTCTGAGACTCCAGAACTCAGAGCTGCCCCTGCAGCATCATCAAACCGCCCCCTACTTTTCAAAGGACTGGGCTTCCCTCCCCTCCCCCACACTGACACACCTACAGACAGCTAGCACAGTTCCACTTGGGAGAGCAGCGGACGTTTTCCTGCCCCAGCTTCCCACCCCCATCGAGGCTCATTTTTCCTCCTGTGTAGTTTTAACCCCACCTGTATGGTCAAGAGGGGCAGCCAGGCCCTGGGGGAAAGAGATGGATCCTTGCAAAGATCATGTTGCCTCCCTGAGCCTCAGTTTCCTCATCTGTACAATGGAGATGAACATCACTGTCCTCAAGGTGGCATAAAAATCAGGTAAGACTTCACACAGGAGAGCTGGGTACACACTGAAAAGTACCAGGCCCAGGCAGGGTTTATAGAAACAGGAATCTTGTCACAGGGCACGTCTGCAGGTCTCCAAGTTCTCTGCCTCCGAGACAAGTCCATCAGCCGTCAGCTGATTGGAAATACTGGTGACACCTGCTCAGACTCCCTGCCGACGGCCCACGGTCTCCCTGCCTGATGGAATCATCACCAGCAAGGCATGGCAGGCACCGCTGTTCCCATTAAGCAGATGAGAAATGTGAGGCTCAGAGAGGTTCTGGCCGCTCAAGGCAGAATTCTTTTATCAAACAAAGGTTCTGCTTGTAAAAAATCCCTGCTGATGGAGGAGTGCAGGGATAAATGTGAGCACTGCAACAGAGGCAAAGGGGTGCTGGGCTGATTCAGGCCGCGGCGGGGGGCCAGGTCTTGGCAGAGGAACAGCGGCTCAAAGTACAGAGGTCCTGCCAGGAGGTCCTGCCAGGAAGCTGTGGCTGGCGGCAGCCCAACACTCGATGGAGAAAAGAGACCATGGGAAGGCCCAGGCCTGGGGGTTCCTGGGGAGCTGGCCTGCTCTCACTCACACCCAGGAGTGCTGGGGTCTTGAGCTGGGTAGAGAGGGTAGGAGCGTGAATGGGGAGCCAGCCCCTCTGGGGCCAGTGCCTCCCACTCTGAGGATGCCTGTAGTGTAGAGAAGGTCCTGAGCACCCTTCTGCGGGGACACGCCACCTCAGCCAACTTCTATTATACAAGTGCTGGGAGGAACCTCCCACTCTCCCGTTTCCATGGGAATCCCCTTGAAATAACCCCATCACGGGCTGTTGTTCTTCCCTGCGGAGGAAGAGCTCCAGATAAATTCCAGGGAGGAAGGCAGGGGCTCACTGACACCCAGGATGTTGTGGGGATTTGGAAATTTCAGGGGTCCAGCGCCCAGCCTCCTAGCTCCCCAACCCCACCCCACTCACACACCGGCGGAGATGGCCACCTGACCTTTATTCTCCTCCTTCCCCTGCTTTTGGGGGTGCAAGAGACCATTTCCTTGGCAATTTAATACAAAGAAGGAAATTGGCAATCCCATCTGTAACAACATCCATCTGTCTCCCTTTGAGAAAGAGGCTCCAAGCTTGGCAGGGACAGCCTGGGGTCAGATCCAGGGTCTACCTCGTCGGAACAGCGTGACCTGGACAAGCCCCTGAACTTCTCGGAGTCTCCATTTTCTCCTGTGCCTCAGCTACGGCCAGAATGACAGCAACACGAGCACATCCCCGCGGGAAACACATCGCACCGGGTCTGCCAGCTCCCTTCCCACAGCCAGAATTGTATGTGTTTGCCTAATCACCCCAAATGTGATGGGAAGTTTCTGGGATTCACTCAGTTATTGAAGCTGCAGATATTCTCTGGGCCCCTTTTCAGGAAACACAGGAGCAGAGACTGCTGTGCACACCCGTGGGAGCCGCACCACGACGAGGGGCGGGATACACAGCTGAGAAATGAGAGCACCCCACACAGAGGGGCTTCCAAAGGCCACCCAGCGCGAGAAGAACGATTGTCACGGCAGTCATTTATTGGGTGCGTTCTCTGTGCCAGACTCGGTCAAAGCCCTTTCCATCCGTTTTCTTGGGCGGCTCTCACCACCGCTGCAGGATTTAAGAACAGCTTCATCCCTAGTTTACTGATGGGTACACTAGGGTACCGAGAAGTCACACAGAGAGGGGTGGTGGAGGAGGATCCGGGCGCAGGTCTCCTGACACTTGTCCTCGGCCCACTTAACGAGCTGCTCTGGGACCTTCCTGCCCCACTGGGACTGGCCCCACCCCACAGAGCTCCAAGTGTGGCTCCCAGGAGGACCCTTGAGATCAGCCCGTCAAGACTACCACCCTGCATCACTGCCCAAGGGGTGAGGAGGCCACCAGCATCTGGATGGCCCTTCTCTCCCTCCATTTCAGAGCCCATTCCTCTCTCCCACCGCCACACGCTGGAGTCCCCAGGGCCAGGCCCTGCCCTCCTAACCTTCCTGACTGCCCAGGGAGGTGGGGCCGCAGAAGCCCAGGGACACTCCCTGGGTTAAGGACTAGAATGGCCACCCCATGTCCCTTTCACTGTGCCTGGCTGTCCTCCTCCCCTGAATGAGCAAAGGAACCACAAGCCAATGGCCGTCACCCCAAGGGGACATGGTACGATGAGCCACCAGCACAAAGGTTCACAGAGGTCCTGCTGAACTCCGGGCAGGGGCTGGCCTCTGCAAGTGGAGGCAGTGCCCCTGCTGATGTGGACTTGGTACCCAACCAGCCAACCTCCATGCCCCAGAGCCGCGTTCCTTCAGGCCAGGCCAGGTTCTGGCAAGCCCTGGGTGACAGTTCAGTGACTGCATAGCCCCCAGGCACAGAGGAGGCCTCCAGAACATGTTAGAAGGAGTAGCTCTGTAAGGGCTAAAAACACACAGCCACACACCCAACCACACCAATTCCACATAGAGGGCCCTGCCCTCTGACTCTCCAAGGCCCAGACACACTGGCACAACCATGAATTCACAGCACCATGCAAAACAGGGAAACAAAGCAACACTGGATACCACCTGATGTCTGTCAACAGGCAACTGGATGAATCAACTGTGCTCCATCCCAGCAACAGGAGACCCCCGTAGCAGCTACAGAGAACAGGCACGTCTCCAAGTGCCCATTCAGAAAGAACTGCACGTTCACAGTGCACCTCTGCCCGCTCTAATCGTGTTTACCCTATGAATACATGGCTTTAATTTTGAATCATAAAATGAGTTCATTTCCACTAAATATGTCCTGGAGAGGAGTGCAAGCACAGAGCCATGCTGGCGTGAGACTGTGGGCCCCCCACCCCGCCCAGCCCCTGTGGGGAGGGACTCTGGTGTCCTGCCAGCCATCCTCACCCCACATCCACATGTCATTGCACAAAGCAGACAAGAGAAAGCAATATATTCAGTAGGAAAACAAATCTCTAAGTCCCTGAGCACAAGGTCCCCCAGGCGGCCCATGGGCCCCTGCCTGCCACCCTGGTCCCTGCCCCAAGAGCTCCGGAAAATGGGTTCTGTCCCCCACAAGGGCCTGCTCTGAGTGACCAGAATCTTCTCTCCTTTCACCAGAAGCCAAATACTGCTGGGAATGATTTCCAGAGAAACAGCCAGTCCTGGACGGAGGCACGGAGCTCCCAGAGGAGGCTTCAGAACGCCTCGCCAGAGAGGACTAAAAAGAGCCCCACCCCCAGCTGCCGGCAGAGGCTTCTCCAGGCTTCCCCGGGAGCTGCCGAGCCCCATTTTTCTAGGATTCCCTCCTAATTCTCTTTCATCGAGTTGCCTGCCCTAGATAGCTTTGCGGGTTGGAGTTCCAGCCGCAAAATTAGCTCTGGGAGACACTGGGCATGGTAGAAATAGCACTGGCCTTGGAGTCAGACAAGGCTGGGGCCGAATCCCAATTCCGGCATCCCTGCTGGCTGTGCAATCCTGGGCAAGAAGTCTGGCCTCTCTGGGCTTCAATTCTCTCATCTATGGGTGGAGTGGGGGGCTGGGCACCAACTTCAGGTGGTGGTCGAGGCAAAGACAGGTGTGCTGGCTGGTATCTGCCAACTCTCCAGGCTGACAAATACAAGCACTGGCTTCCCTTCACTGGTCCTCAGTGCCCCCATTTGAACTGGAACACAGGGTCTCTCACTTTATTGAGCAAATGGTTACCCAGTTCTTCATCTGGGTCACAGAAAAATCAAGCAACAGTTCAGCCTCACTCTCAAGCTCACCGAGCACTAGAAGGAAAATGAAGGTGAGCCGCATGCGTGGGTCAGCTCGGGGCATGCCAGCCCCAACCATCAAGGCATGCGAGTGAACAATGAAGGAAGTTGATGGGTGCGGGGCCTAAGGAATGCCAGGAGAGACCCCAGACACAGCAGCGACCCAAGCAGCTGCCTGGAGCCCCAGAGGTGCATGGAGGTCAGGGCAGACCGGAGCGTGGAGCCCCGGAGGTGCATGGAGGTCAGTGCAGACCGGAGCGAGGGCTAGATTTGGTGTCTGCAGGTCTGGGTTCAAATCTCGACCTACCTGTTCCTGACATGTGAAACCCTCACCTCGGTCTCCTTCTCTGCCAGTTGGAGATAGCAATTCCATACCTGGGTGGGGGTGGGGTCTGGAGACAGGTGGAGACACCCTCACCTGGCCCTGCCACCTGCCAGCATGCACAGCTCCTTGCTCACCTGGGACCCTGCTGTGCCCCTCCCACGCCTCCATCAGCAGACACTTCAACCCCAGAGTCTGGAGTGACTCAGGAACTCTCCATTCCCTCCCATAGCCTTGATAGCACTCTCAGTGCCTAAACATCACTGGCTCTGATGAACGTGTGCTGAATGAATTCACTTCTTCCAGGAAGCCCTCCTGAACCTGCCACCACCCAGGCTGGTCATGTAATGCTCTGGGCAGCTCAGCCCATTGTCTCTTCCACTCAACATGGTCCCATCACTGGCCACATGTCCATCTCATCTGCTCTGGGGGCTTCTCAGGACACAGACCTTGTCAATCATACTCACAGCCACATCCCCCACTCCCAGCAAAGCATCCAACGCATAGTGTAGGCTGGATCAGCTGTGGACTGTCCAGATGAGCCTCTGTGCTGCCCCTGCCAACACTCCAGCCCCGGCCCTCCTGCAGCCCAGGCTTCTCGGCACAGCCCTCAGCCTACACCACTCTGTGGCTCTTTCCTCAACATCCCATGAGCCCCAACAAAACCCATTGCTTATTGTGACAAATTCCACTGAAAACATATTACAACTCAATGTGCTTTCCCTTCTGTTTCTTTCATGAGGTTGGGCGGGGGCAGGGAGGGTGATGGCAGCCAGCGCCGGTGAGGCCTGCTTTGCCGGCTTCTCTTGAGGAGGGGGCCTGGGTTATAAATCCATCCAGCCTGTTTTATGGAGAAGGTGCTGCACGCTGATAGGTTTTTATAGCTGCTTGTTTACAAAGACAAAGCATAATGACTCCCCATCTCACCCCAGGTTTGGGGATGGCCAGGGAGAGAGGACAAAGGAAACGCTCCCCATCTCCACCCTCCTCCTCCTGGCCTCAGGGCTCTGAGGGACCTGGTGAGGTTGTCTGGGGCCCAATAAATGACTCCCACTTCCTGTCTAAGTTTGAAACCCCTGGAGAGAAAAGAGTTGGATCTGCAGAGCCTGGCAGGTGGAGGGCTCCATGGGACCCTCGCCCCTGAGAAGGGCCTGGTACAGGCTACAGGGAGTGTGAACAGCGCCACCGCCCCAGAGCCAGGGACACCCTCACCTGCTCCGCCTGGCACAGGCAGTGTAGACCCAGCTGTAGGCTTGACCCTTATGCTTCCAACTTCTCCCAAGCCCACAAATCACAGCACCCCTCCTCTGCCCAGGAGTGGCCTATGCATGTGTGGGGAGGTTGGGAGGACAGGATTGGGAGTGGGGTCCCAGCCCCAAGAGCCTGGACAGGGAGCAGGAAGGACCAGCTGCCTTCTGCTTGTCAAATGTTTCTGCCAAATGGACACTGCCACCCCCTGCTGGCCTGGGGGCCATCTGTCCCTTCAGGGTGACACTGCAGGTGTCCCCATCAGCTCCAGATCCTGTGAACACTGGCAGTGGAGCCTAACCCCCAGGACACAGCAGGATTTTCCCCACTTCCCAGCTTCTGGGGCCCACCCCATTTCACCCTCGGCCCCTCTCTTCGCTCGTGGCTCGCTGCCCTAGGTCTTCCTGGGATCCTGTCTGGGGCCTGGCCCCTCACACCTGCGTACTACTTCCCTCAACAGGCGCCTTTTCTTCCAGAGAAGACACTGGCATTTGCAGAGCCAAGATAGAGTCCTCATTTCACAGCAGAGGAAACTGAGGCCCAGAGGGCCCTGCACCCTGCACCACCTCAGAAGGATACAGCAGCCCTAACCCTTAGGCTTTCAGCTGCTGTCCCAAATTATCACATGCTGTCCCCCTGTCCCTGTGTGGCCATGCCTATATTTGGAGTTTTGATGAGAGGGTCACCTGCCACGCTGGTGCTATCAACAAGGCATACATGGAGCTCACAGGGTGAGACCAGAGGACTTCCAGCCTACCCCAAGTGTTCCCAAGCCTGGAAGTAAAGTAGATGACTGAGTTCTTAGCCCAAAGGCCACAGGAATATGGGGACCAGCTCTGTCCCACAGAAAACCTCAGCTCTGTGATCTTCTGGAGGTACATTCACCGCTCTGGCCCAGCTCAACAAGTACAGGCCCCTCCTGGGAACACAGAGCCACACACACCCGTCCTGCAGGCTTGCCTGCTGCCCACAGTCTAGAAGGGCTGCCACCATGCCTGGCTCCAGCTCCACCTCCACATGGCCACACTGCAGGATGCCCCTGGTTGGTTAAAGGGCAAAGCTGATTGGGGTGGAGCAGAACGTCTTTCCCTGGGATGCTGAGAGCCAGGACAGATGTGTGTGGCTCCCTCCACCCACAGTCCCACTGACTGTCACAAAGATGCGCAGGTGTGGGGCCGTTCCCAAGCATCAGACACACCTAATGCCTCATCTCCATCCACCCTTGCAGGGACACCCCCCAGAGGATATTCTTGTCTCTGGCTTAGCGCCGGAGATACAGGGTTGATGGAGGGGCCACCTCAGGTCACATACACACCAACAGTGACACAGGATGGCTGGCCCCAGGGTGGCCAGAGTCCCTCTCCACCCTGAAGATGTAAAGGCAGCAGGGACAGAGTGTGGGAGATGGAACCTGAAAGAGGAAGGAGCGGCACCAGAAGCAGCATGAAGTGCCCATGGCATCCCCCAGCCCCAGCCACCCCAGCTCTGCCTCCTCAGCTGGCAGAGTCCTCCAGTAGGTCTAACCCATGAGCAAAGTCTAGAAACTGCCCACCCCACCCCACTCCACCCCAGGGCCAGACACACAGCGAGCTCTCACTGAACAGGAGGGCGGCTTCCTGCCATTCCTTCATATTCACCGAGAATGGTCCCCATCCCTAGTGCGGGCACGTGGTGTGTACCGGGTCTGGGCCCAGACCACCAGGCTGTAATGGTTTCCTATAAAACTGCTTCTGCAAGGCTGAACAAACAAGATGATGGGGAGGTCAGTGTGTCCTTCTTGGAGTCAAGCCACACCGAATTAGCCAAGCAGAAAACTCAGCCCAGCTCACCTGTTTCCGCTCGGCAGTCCTCCCTACCGCAGAGGCCCTGGCAAGAGGGCAAGCGCAGCCCCACCAAGGGCCACGTTGGCTGATGTGGGCACTGCAAGCCTCCTGTGACCCCGTACCAGAGCGGCAGTGGCAGGCTGCTAAGAATGCTGCTTCCCCACCCGGCCCTGATTGCAGGAATCATTTCCATCCGGTGCACACCCAGGGCCACAGGTCTGCCTCACAGCTAGTCTACCCCTAAAGAAATATGTTTAAATGAGCAAAAGTATGGGATGCTTTTGCTATTTTTGAACAGGGAAATGGCACAGAGACAGGGACCCGTGCTTCCTGTGACGTTCAGGAGGAAAAGAGCGTGTTGCTCAGGAGCGGGACAGCGGCTCCAAGGTCAGACAGATCCCAGTGGGGGTCTTGGCTCTGCCCAGGCCATTTGCGGTGCCCCGTGTTTCCCAGGGAGGGCCAGGGCACTGTCTCTTACCCTATCTGCTCTTCTACCATGTAACTGGCCCCACCTGCATGCAAAGGTTGAGTCCAGCTGCCTTTCAGCCTGGGCCAGCCTGTGACTCACTTGAACTAAATGAAGGTGACACAATCGATGCTGAGATATCTGAGGGGTCGGGTCAGGAAGGGCCAAGCAGCTTCCACCTGGTTACCTAAGGACACTTGATGCCAGAAAGCCAGCTGCCATCGAAGGAGTTCAGTGGCCCTGAGACTACATGCTGAAGAGGGGAGCCCCTCCTTCCAGCTCTCCCTACCCAGCAGGAAATGTGAGTGAGACGATCTCGGGTCCTCCAGCTCAGTACACACGCCAGCTTGGAAGACTCATGGGTGGCCATTAGAGCAGAAGAGACAGAATAAAATGGTTGTCATCACATCACTGAGCTGCAGAGTCATGTGTTAGGTAGCACTGGTACCTGTGGCACTCACTGTGTGGCCTTCTCCCTGGGACTCAACCTCTCTGAGGCACAGTGTCCTGATGTGCAATTGCGACGTCATTCCCACCACCTCCCGGAGGGGCGTCAAGCCCTAATGTGATCACCAACATGTCAGGACACAGAAGCCCTCAAGAAACGGGAGCCTCCCTCCTCATCACCAGCATCGCTATGACATTGCCGTGAAGACAAAATAGTCATGACTGCGGAGGTAGGTGGTGCGGCCCCCGGCTCCTCCCTGGCGCAGCCCACACCCCATCTCCTGTCAGACACCTATCAGGAGATAACGAACACGGCGCAAGTCACCATGTGCTGGAGCCGAAATTAATCCTTTTTTTTTTTGGAAGGAAGAGAGAGACCGATGGGCTTGCTACAATCTACAGATGACTCCAGAGCTGCATTGCATTCGTGGACTTCCTCTTCCGAAAATCACCCAAACAAAAATGTTTTGGCCGATTTGGTTTTTAGCCTGGTAGACAACATCATATTCAAGGCATTATGCAAGCCCTTACAAGCACTTCTAGCCTTACGTCATGAAATTGCATTCCTACTTGGCCAGATACAAGAATAATCTGGAATACAGGCCAATGGGCATTCATAAGAATGCTCAACTCATCTTAACCTAAACATCAAAAATTGGGGCAGTTGATGTCCAACAGTGGGGAGAGCTCTCTCCGTCCTCCACCTGCTGCCATCTGCACCCCCCGCCAGCCTTCTTGCCACACTCCTGTGCTCTTGCATTGACCAAACACCAGGCAAGGAGGCCCCGCCTTCCAGCACACCAGGCAGCTCCCAGCCTGCCGGGAAACCCTCTCTACCACACAACCTTCACCTCCACTCCCCTTCCACTGCCCGGTCTAGGGCTTTCTCACCTCTGTTGGAAGTGCTCACAACCCTTCTCTGAGCCCCCCACTCTCCTTTCCAAACTCACAGAGACTTTTGACAATCCTCAGCTCCCTCTCCCTCCCCTGCCTGGATGGATCGCCACCACACCTGCCAAGATCTGCAGCACTGCAAGTGAAAGCTCCAGCAGCCCTGAACACACCACACTGTTTCCCACTGCTGTACCATGTCCATAATGTCCCTCTTGCCATGGACGCCACCCCCTCCCCCCGCTGCCTACTGCTGTGGACCACCAACCGCTACTGCCCGCAGCCCTCACATCTCCGACCACCTGCTCCCAGGCTGCAATCAGGCCCACTGCATCCCTGCCCCTCACACCAAATCACAGCCATCTGTTATTCTCCCTGATTCCAGAAATCCTGGGTGGGGGGGATGCACCCTATTCTTTCTACCTGAATCCCCCAACCTCACCCACACATCTATTATAGGCAATCGACACTAATCAGATCAGTTAATCCACATGTAGTTATTGAATGAATAATTATACCTACACCATGAAATATTATGCAGCCAATAAAAACTGCTAACTCAGAGTGCATCATCATAGGGGAAAACGTTGGCAGTGTGTTTAATATGTTGAAAGACACGAAATGTATTGAGAGTACAATCTGCAAGGGGTAGTTAGAAGGAACCGCAACCAAATGCGAACGGTGTTTCCGGAGGAGTGAAATGAAGGATATTATCTTCCTCCTCTTTACTGTCTACATTTTCAAACGTTTCTGTAACAGATAAAATAGAGAAATAAAATTAAGATCTTCTCAAAAAGAGCACCTTAACATACGCGCAACTTAGCTCACAGAGTCTGACGGTACGGGACACATTATCAGGAGTTATATTTTCACTGCTTCAATAAAGAGCCTTACCTCTCCTTGGGGCTATAAAATATTCAGGGCTGTTTTTATCACCTTTCACATTGAAAGCTGGTATAGGAACCACATCATTCAGCCCCTGGCCCCTTCGGCCAGTTCATTCCATGATGAACTGCTCCCTAAGCAGACAGGCTGGCTGGAGGGCAGCACACTGAACGCAGTGAGGGGGAGTTCCAGGTGCCCCTCACCGTGAACCACGGGCTGCCTTCCCACTTCCAGGGTGAGGAATTCCCATGGTTTCATATTCTTGAGCTACCGCCTTTAATAAGGAATATATTGACTGCAATCCCCCAGTCTGGGTTTGAAACTTCACTATGGCCTGGCCACGTGGAAGGGGCCATGAGGTGTCCACTCTGGCCACTTGCAATGAGTGCAGGCGGTCCCTGCTGTACAGGTGGTGTGGATCCATAAAAATGAGCGTGAACCAGGCGTGGTGGCTCACACCTGTAATCCCAGCACTGTGGGAGGCTAAGGCAAGTGGATCACCTGAAGTCAGGAGTTCGAGACCAGCCTGGTCAACATGATGAGACCCCATCTCTACTAAAAATACAAAAATTAGCCAGGCGTGATGGCAGGCACCTGCAATCCTAGCTACTTGGGAGGCTAAGGCAGAAGAATTGCTTGAACCCAGGAGGCAGATGTTGCAGTGAGCTGAAATCATGCCACTGCACTCCAATTTGGGCAACAGAGCAAGACTCGATCTCAAAAAAAAAAAAAGAGCATGAAAGCTGAAACCATTTAAAGCCACCCTAATAATCAACGAGGAAATTACAATTGTTCTGTGGCCTTTAAAATTTTTCCTCAAGACATCAAAAACTCTTTTACAGACTTGTACAAATGTATTTTTACAGACAGTTACAAATGTATAGGGAATTTTTTTTTTTTGAGATAGGGTCTCACTCTGTCACCCAGGCTGGAGTGCAGTGGTGCAATCATAGCTCACTGCAGCCTCAACCTCCTGGGTTCAAGTGATCCTCCAGCCTCACCCTCCTGAGTAGCTGGGATTGCAGGTCCATGTCACCATCCTTGGCTAATTTTTTTAGTTTTTGAAGAGATAGGGTCTCACTGTATTGCCCAACTCCTGGGCTCAAGAGATCCTCCCACTTCAACCTCCCAAAGTGCTTGGATTACAGGTATGAGCCACAGCACCCAGCCAGGAAAGTTTTTTTCTAAATAGTACAACTAATATTTATTTAGTGCACTGTAATTTAAAGCATTAGAAACATTGAGATTTCCAGTGCCTTATTTCTTTGTAAAAGACATATTGACAGTAGTTTGCAAAGTGCTTGCTACTATTATCATAAACCTTACAATACCAAAAGAGCATACTGTCCGTGCTTTGGAGAATTGTCTTTCTCCAGATCAGCTTCTGAGATTTTATCCTTTGGGCTTTCAACACTGTAAAGTATCTTCAAGAGTTCCTTTAACATTTTCCCCAGCCTCATTCCCTCTGGGACATCTCTATCCTTTGGGGCCTAACCTCTTTCCTTGTTTATATCAGTGCATTCACCTTCACTCGGCTCCTCTGGCTGCATCTAATAGCTTCTCAAAGGCCAGCTTCAGCTTCCCAAGATCATGGATTTCTTCTATGACTCCATTTACCTCCAATTCAAATATCACTCCCAGCATTACCATTGTTCACGCCTTTGCTGAGCATTATCTTCGTTAGCCAATTCCTTCTTTCAGTGATCTGTGTAAAATGTCATGCGGGCTCATCACTGGGAGTGTCTTAGTCCATTCAGGCTGCTATAACAAAATACCATAGACTTGGCGGCTTATAAACAACAGGGATTTATTACTTTTTCACAGTCCTGAAGGCTGGAAGTCTAAGATCAAGGCACAGCAGATTTGGTGTCCGTTGAAGTTCCACTTCCTGATTCACAGACAGCCATCTTCCTGCTGTGTCCTCAAATGACAGATGGGCAAGGAAGCTCTCCGAGGTCTTTTATAAGGGCACTAATCCCATCCATGAGGGCTCTATCCTGAAAACCTCATCACCCCTAAAGGCCCTACCTTTAAATACCTTCACACTGGGGGCCTGGATTTCAACCTGTGAATTTGGAGGGGGAACTTAAACATTCAGATAACAGCAGGAAAGCAAGGAGGCAGCACAACTATGTGCTTTGCTGTCTGTGCATGAACTAACAGGTGTGTATAAACAATCAGCAATGGCCTTTGGAAGATAGCTCGTGCTGAGCGGGGTGCAGGGTACAGCGGAAGTAGGCATGTCCAAGCATGAATGGCATCTACTGACATGTTGTGGGGTGAAACCCTGGGCTATGTTTCAGAAAGGCCTGGGTTTCAGTCCTGCCTCCTGATCTGAGCTGGGTCACTTCTCATTGCTGGGGCTGGTTTTCCATGTCTGTCAGTTATAACAATAGAAATTGACCCAGGTTAACACAAGCAAAGAAGGACGTTACTGGAAGGCTCTGAGGAACCCACAGAATCAAGGAGAGAACAGAACATCTAGACAAGCACCCTGAGGAGGAGGAGGACCCAGAATTCAATGTCAGGAATCCATGACCCTTGCAGTTATCCATTGCTGTGTAACAAAGCACTTCAAAACTTAATGGCTTCAAACAAAAACCATTTATTTGGTTCATGAATCTGCAATTTGGGTAGGTCTTGGTGGGAATGGCTCATCTCTGTTCCATATGGATGTTTTGGCTGAGGGCTGGAGGCTCTACCTGTAAGATGGCTCACTCACCTGCTGGCAAGGCAGGCAGCTCAACCAGGGCCTTTGTCCAACTATGCATGTACTTCTCCACAAACTGCCTGGGCTTCCTCACAATATGGTGACTGGCTCTAAGGCAGAAGTACATGACCTATTTTTTACTTAGCCTCCAAAGCTACACAGTGTCACCTCCCCCATATTGTTGGTTCTTCTCATGATTGTGGAGTGGGAGATCCATGCTTAGCAAGACAAGAGTCATGACATCTGTCATGATATCTAACCACATAAAATCAATTCTACCAGAAACAGAAAGTGACATCTAACCACATAAAATCAATGCTAACAGAAACAGCAAACCAGGGGTCAGCATTTGCAACAGAGATGACAATGACAGCAGAGAAACAGGCAAAGAATGTGCACAAAAAAACTTACAATCGAATATATGCTATGGTCAATAAATACAAGAAAGGAAGCTCAGCCTCACTGAAAACTGCTTTAAAAGAACACAGACTATAATCCCAGCTTCTTGGGAGCTTGAGAGACAAGAATTGCTTGAGCCTGGGAGGCAGAGGTTGCAGTGAGCCAAAATTACAGCACTGCACTCCAGCCTGGGCAACAGAGGAAGATTCTGTCTCAAAAAAAAAAAAAAAAAGAACAGAGCAATTTTTACTATAATATTGGCAAATATTAAATATGTTGAATCTAGTCACCACTGGCAATGCTCTGGGGAGAGGGAGTTGCTAGTGCAAGGAAAAGTTGACATTAGACGAAGATACTTCAGAAAGACCAAACTCTCAGAAGCAGCCATTCCACACCCTAGGGAAATAACCAAATATGAATGCAAAAAGGTGCAAAGATGCCCTCAAAATGCTGCTCATGATCCTAAACCAATCATAACTTCTGATACTCACCAGAATGGAACTCATCAAAATACGTAGAAGCATGTGAATGATATTACCAATGATGATGGGTGCTATGATGATGGGTGCTATGGGCTGAAATGTACCCCCTCCCCAAAGTTCCTTTGTTAAAGTCCTAACCCCCAGAATGTCAAAATGTGACTGTTTTTGACAAAAAGGAACTTTAACAAGGTAAAATGCAGTCATGCGGATGGACCCTAACCCAATATGCCTGGTGTCCCTCTCAGGACATAGACACACAAAAGAGCATGTGAAGACACAGAAGGGAGACGTTCACCTACAGGCCAAGGAGAGAAGCCTCAGATGGAATCAGTCTTGCCAACAGTTTGATCTTGGACTCCAGGCTCCAGCACTGTGAGCCAGTAAGTTTCTGTTGTTTCGACCACCTGGTCTGTGGCACTTTGTTACAGAAGGCCCAGCAGGCTAAGACAATGAGCTGTGTATTTTCTTTTTTTTTTTTTTTTTTTTGAGACGGAGTTTCGCTCTTGTTACCCAGGCTGGAGGGCAATGGCGCGATCTTGGCTCACCGCAACCTCTGCCTCCTGGGTTCAGGCAATTCTCCAGCCTCAGCCTCCTGAGTTGCTGGGATTACAGGCACGTGCCACCATGCCCAGCTAATTTTTTGTATTTTTAGTAGAGACGGGGTTTCACCATGTTGACCAGGATGGTCTTGATCTGTTGACCTCTTGATCCACCCACCTCGGCCTCCCAAAGGAGCTGTGTATTTTCTAACCTAGAAAGCTCTCATATCATTAAGGGAAAATTTTAAAGATTATAAAACAGGATACGCACACAGTAGATGCTCAAAAAGCATTTTTCAGTGAATGAAAAAATGTTCCACAATGTCAGTAACATATAATCCAAACTCCTTATTTTGGCATTTGAAGCCTTTCACAAACAGACCTACCTCCTACTTCCCCTCCCCCTCCGGCTCCTCTCTCCATCCCGCCCACACACATCCTCTAAATCTCGCTGGCCCACAGACCCCTCTCTATACAGGATGCCCTCTCCCAAGATG